ACTCGCTTGGCATCATCTCAAGTGTCTCTATCAAGCAAACGACAGCGTGACACAAAGCAGACTCATGCAACAACTGACAACAATACAGATGAAGACCGAGGAAAAGGCGATGCAGTATATGAGTCGCTGCCAGACCCTCCGCGACCGCCTGCTTCGGTGCGGAGGAACAATCACTGAGGAAAGCTTCGTGACGCTTGTCCTCGCCGGGCTCGGACCAGAATGGAGAACCACACGCTCGCTTCTTCGCGCCCACGGAAGGATCTCGGAGATGCACCTCTGCGCCGAACTTCACGCTGAACAACAGGAGATGGACCTGTTCGAAGAAAGACAACCAAGGAAGCAGCAGCAGTTAGTTTTCTATACTCAACGAAGGAACGACAACAACTACAATCGACGCGGCAAGCAAGATCAACGCGACAACAGAGGACTCACCTTCGTGCCGCCGTTCTGCCACAACTGTCAGACTTCTAGACATTCCAAAGTCAACTGCACACGTCCTCGTGTTTATCGTCCAGTAGACCCACACGTCGCCTCCTCTCAAGAAAGCCCTCCAAGGCGCTCTTCCACATCTGCACAGGGGACACCAAACATCATTAACTGCATGGTACACATCGACAACTGCGCACCCGGATCACCACCCACTTACGCACCAGACGAAGAAGAACTTCCGCCACCGCGCTCACAAGGACTTCAGGTCAACCCGACATACGCTGCGGTCGCCAACGCCGAACCCACCGAACGAAACACCTGGTTCTTGGACAGCTGCTGCGGTCAACACATGTGTTCTTCCGGACGCTTCGTGCAACGAGAGCGACGCCTCAACCGCGATGTCATCATCACCGTCGCCAACAACGAGAACCTGAAAACAAACCGACAAGGCGTGGTTCAGTTACAATCCATGGAGACAAATGTTATACTTCAACTCAACAAGGTCCTCATCGTCGACAACTTGGGATACAACTTACTAAGCGTAAGCCAATTAATGGCAAAGGGGATTCACCTGGAGTGCGACTCGTACTCCAACGAGTTTCGCCTTTACCACGGGAAGGGCGGTCTCTTCATCGGCCGTGCTCTCCTGAAGTCCGGCGTCTTCGTGTTGGACTTCGTCCCCGACCGCGGTACTGCAGACAGCGACGGAATCGTGTCGTTCGCCGCCTGGACACACCCGCCGGATCTCGACCCCGACTTCGACCCTGATGGATTCTGGCACTCCAACACCATACTTGCAGCAGAGAGAACACGAGCATTAGCAGTCATCAGACAAGAAAGACAAGTACCAGCAAGTGCCCCTTCCCAACCATCACAAGCAGTAGCAGCAGCAGGTCCCAGCCGAGTACCGCCACCAGCGATCCGAGGACCACCAACCGAAGCAGATCAACTTATGCCCATCACGCGAGAAGTCTGTCGAAGTCCCGCCACAGTCGTCGCGTTCTTCTCCAACACCGACATATACCACCGCTCGCCCGGCCATCGTGCTCCCGACGACATCTGGCACCAACGACTCGGGCACCCTGCAAACAGTACAATACTACAAACCATCCAAGCCGAAGTGTTAGAACGCAACGCTCTCCTAACAACAAGCGGCCAAGAACTTCGACGACCACGCGCACGTTGCTTTACGTGCCCCGAAGCCGATCTTCCCCACCAGTCTTTCCCATCTCATCACAACCCAAGCGCACCTGCATACGCAACGATGGAAAAGGTCTACAGCGACATTTTAAACATGCCTCGAGAAGATACTGAAGCCGACTTCAACTATGTCATCACGTTTATCGACGCAGCAACAAGATACGTCTGGCACTACAACCTCAAAATGCGCGACCAAGCCTTCGACGCCTTCACGACATGGCTACCCATCGCCGAACGAGAATCAGGAACCAAGCTCAAGAGCTTCCAGTCAGACGGTGCACTGGAATATCAGTCACAACGCTTCAGGACCTATCTGGCGGAAAGAGGAATCAGATGCCTGGTGTCTCTGCCCTACGCTCACCAGCTGCAGGGGGTCGCAGAACGCATGAACCGGGCCTTGCAGACAACGATGCGAAAGCTGCTCCTGGGGATGAGACTGCCCACTACACTGTGGCCAGACGCGATGACACATGCAGTCCACCTGCACAACCTGTTGTCCTCGTCATCGCTTCCCAACAACGCATCACCGCACCTGCTGTGGACACGAAAAAGGGGCAGCACAAAATTACTTCGAGTTTTCGGTTGCATGGTACAGTACAGACCCCACACAGCCAGAGCAGGACGTTTCACTCAACGAGCAAGATGGGGGCTACACGTCGGCATCGCACAACATTTTCAAGCATGGAAAATCCTCGACATACAAGACAAAACTACCGTGGCATCACGTGATGTGATCTTCTACGAAAGACTGACGCTGCAACATTACCTGGACAACATCGCCAACACAGAAGACCCCACCGACGGAGTCGCAGGCCTCCGCTCCTTCGCTGACCATGCTGCCGAAGCTAACGCAGCAGAAGAAGACGTACCTGGAGCTTCGGAAGCTGCCGGACCACTCCCTTACTGCTCCGTGCCAGTCCCACTCGACGAAGACAATCCACTCGATAGCAACAACCTCGACACCTTTTACCACTTCGCTGACCAAGGTTACGTTACACCCCACCCCGTCGACACGAATGTTTCAGCACGTATCGGCCCAAACTTCTTACCTGATCCAGAAGATGGTGACGAAGCAGTTTATTCCGGGAACGAAAATTCCCCTCGACACACACCCACGGGATTGCAGATCCTCGGCCTCTGGGTCTCCGTCCAGCATCCGCCGCCGCCATCTCCGCGCGAGCCCTCGACTCTGTCGCAGGCTGTGGGGGGGAACATAAGGCAAAATGGAAGGAGGCGATGGAAAGGGAACTAAAGGCTCTGCAAGACCGAGATACATGGAAGCTGGTACCTGCAACAAGCATCAACGGGAAGAACGTCCTCTCGGGAAAATGGGTGTACCGCATCAAGACCAACGCGGACGGCACCATCGAACGATTCAAAGCTCGATGGGTCGTACGAGGCTTCGATCAACGATACGGAACCGACTACACAGAAACCTTTGCCCCAGTCTCCCGTCACACCTCCCTGCGCATCCTACTCGCCGTCGCGGCCACGAAGAAACTACCACTGCGCCAAATCGACGTCGCAAATGCTTTTCTGTACGCACCTGTGGACGCCGAGATCTTCGTCGAGCAGCCCCACGGATTCATCGATGACCCCACGAAAGTATGCCAGCTGATAAAATCCCTATACGGGATCAAGCAAGCCCCGCGGCTCTGGCAGCAGCATCTTCACGGTCGCCTCGTAAAAATCGGATTCCTACAGCTGCCGCATGACCAAGACATGTACCGACTGCAAAAGGGATGAGAGTATATCCTACTCATCGTTTACGTCGACGACCTGCTCTACATCGGTTCCACTACCGACATCGCCACCTGGTTCGAAGGGGAGCTGAAAGAAGACTTGACACTCACGGTGTCCGACGCAGTGACCCAGTACCTGGGACTGAATGTCGTCGAAGACAACTCGGCGTTCTACCTACACGCTGGAAAGTACGCAGGCACCGTCGCGAAGAAATTCGATCTAACGCCGACTACGATCCCAACTCCCTACCGCTACGGGAACAACAACAGCACCTCCGCAAAACTCCCCGCGAAGCAAATCCAGGAGTATCAACAGAAGCTCGGCTGCCTACTATTCGCACCAGTAACCTGCCGACCCGATCTCTCTTATAGCGCGAGCCAACTGGCGACGCATTTGAAGCAGCCGGAACAAGAAGATATCGAGGAGCTCAACCGGGCACTACTCTACTTCGTCTCCACGCCGACGATCGGACTTACCTACAGCAAAGTAACAACACCGTCCGTACGACTACTCGGATACGTCGACGCCGACCACGCGGGAGACAGGGAAAATCGACGATCGAGAACGGGCTACATCTACCGACTAGAACCTATCGGGACTATCTCCTGGCAGTCGAGCAAGCAGGAACTAATCGCACTATCTTCGGCTGAAGCAGAATATATCGCCCTCTGCACTGCGACCAAGGAAGGACTCTACCTACGAGAGTTGCTCGAGGAAGTGAAGATCGCGACCCTGCCCGTCTTCTCACTCCTCTGCGACAACCAATCTGCGATCAAAATCGCGAACAAGGACGGCTTCGCCAACCGAACCAAACACATTGCCCTGCGGTACTTCTTCGTCAAAGATGAAATCGCGAAGGGGAGACTTCAACTCAGTTACTGCCCTACAACAGAAATGGCCGCAGACTACCTGACGAAGAAACTGGCGAAGGCGAAATTCGATTACTGCATGCTGCTGACCGGGCAGACAAACGTTATCGGATCTGAACACGTCAGCACTCCAGAAACGAAGGGGAGTGTTGGAAATATCTCAAAGGACTTAAGCGTTTCTGAAGTGTAACACTACACTTGAGGAAGATCGTAACGGGTACGCGAGTCAACGGAGGTTACACGAGGGGGTGGACAAAGAGCGCGAAGGGACTCGAAGGGTCGCAACTGGAGGTTGCGACTGACCGTTACAACAGCGCGGATGATAACCGAAGCGACAATCGAGTCGCTGTGCGACTCGATAAACCGCTCCTGCAACTGTATTCTACAACTGCTTTCTTATTCTCTATATATTGCTGTATGCTTGTTTCTTTAATCAATCACTTGTTCTCATATACTAGTACAAGGGTTCAACTGCCTCAACTTCCGCTGCACTACTCAAGTCTTTTTACAACTGGGACTTAGTCTCTGAAAAGATCCTAAGGGCTTTTCTCAGCCCAACACAGAAAGGCCTAGGAGTCTCGAACTGAAAGGTCTGGAACCCTATCGTTGGTTCGGGAATATTCGAGTCGTACGCCCTGTAGCAAGCCTCAGTAAAGAATTACTAATTCCTTACAAGAGATCACCAGGAAAAAGAACCACTTCAAAATTCTGGAAAGACTGATTGAAATAGGTATTTTACAATACAACAAAGAAAGGTAGCATACTGAGGTGAAGCCATTCGTTCTCCACGCGGTTGTACATATACATAGTGGGTGTTGCTGCTGCAGCAGTGCTGCATTGATGGCATGGGGCAAGAGAACGTCCACTGGAATATGCACACACTGTTTCTACGGTACAGGGAATGTAGGGCAGCCATGACACTGAAGAAGCTTCGCTGAGAGCAAGCTACCAATCTGATAGCCTGAATGGGGAGGATAACTCTCTCTACTCTCTCTATTCCAATCCAACAGTTACTGCGCTTTAGGTCGAAGGCATGCAGTCACTTCCCACACCTGATCCTCCATCTGCCCAGCTGACCCCTTCCCCTCGCCCTGCTTCGCACCCACACGTTCCGCCTTTTCCCTGCTCTCAGACACCTCACTTCTCTCCTTCTCGAATCCTTTCCCCCCTGCAGCATCAGTGGGCAATCCTATGCGGCACGCCTATCCCATACGCTCACCCATCACATGCCCTGTCCGCCCTACTCTCGCAGGCCTCTCTTCACCACTACCCCCACTCCTCAAATCACCCTCGTCCTCATCGTTTCCTTTCTTTGCCCCACAGGGGCTGAGCGCTGCACTTGTCCCAACCACTAGGCCGAGCCCAAGCCTGCGCCTTGGGCTGTGCGTCGATCCCTGGGTCTGCTGCACCTTATCGACGCTCGTGCTCTTGCTGCTCCTCCCACCACCACCGTCGCTGCCGCTGCCGCTGCCGCTGCCACTCCTGCTCCTGCTGCTGGTACCACTGGCGCCGGACGCACTACCTCCGCTGCCTTTGTCGCCGTTGCTTTCATTGCTATTGCTGCTATTGCTGCTGTTGCTGTTGCTATTGCCGCTGATGCTCCCGCTGCTAGCCCCACTGCTGCTGCTGCTGCTGCTGCTACTGCCACGGAGAAGCGAGAGCAGCCACCGGCGCTTGGAGCCCGGGGCATGAGATGACAGTGGGGCTTGCCTCTGGTGGTGGCTACTTGGCTGCGAGGGAGAGGAGAGAGATGTTGGGAGAGGGGATCGGTGGGAGGATGGGAGAGAGCGGAGAGGAGATGGTGGTTCGGAATGGCTAGCCTGCAGGGCGGAGGACACGCCAGCAGGAGAAGGAGAGAAAGGCGAATGGGGAGAGCTAGGGAGGGAGCCGAGAGGGGACAGGGAGCGTCGGCTGCTGGGGCTGGGGCTGGCATTGCTGCTGCTGCACACACTGCTGCCGTTGCTGCCCGTGCTGCCACCGCTGCTGCTCCTGCTCACCGACATATGCTGCGGGCTGGCACTGGACGGCTTATACAGCCAGAAATCGCCCGCTTCTCGCCTCTCCCTGTCCCTCTCCCTCCCCTGCGCCGATCGCTCCAACTGCTGCTGCGGCCTCCTGTCGTCCCCACTCTGATGCTGCTGGTGCTGGTGATGGTGACGCTCGTAGAGCTGCTGGTGCCGTTTCTGCCTGTGCGTCTGCCGCTCACTGCTCTCCTCACCGACCCCCTCGTACCGATGCCTGTGCCTGTGACCGTCACTGTCTCTCTGACCTTCTCTGTGGCTGTGGCTGTAGCTATCGCGCCTGTGTCTCCCGGAGCGGCTGCCCGGCTCCCCTTCACTCCCACTGCCACTCCCGCTGCCATCCTTAGACCGCCTTCTTCGCCCGGGAGACTCGCTCTCCGCCTCACTTCCCACACCCCTCTCCTGCTGTCGCTGCTGCCCCTGCTGCGTCTGCTTCAGCTGCTGCTGCTGCGGCTGCTGCGGCGGCTGTTTGCGTCGCTGCTGGCTGTACTTCTCTCGCTCCAGCACGTCTCGCAGCAGCGTCAGCGACGACACGGCGTGCAGCATCCGCTCCCGGCTCGGGCTCCCGCTCTCGCTTCCGCTCCCGCTCGGGCTGCCGCTGCCGCTGCCGCTGCCGCCTCGCCCTCTCCCCCGACTGCCATGCCCGCTGCTCTTACCCCTTCCACTTCCGCCGCCTGTCTCCCAGCTCCTCTCCGCGCCCCCGTCCATGCCACCCGCTTGCGCGTTGCGCTCCCCGCCCACCTGTTCTTGCGCGCGGCCCTCCGCAGCGCTGCTGCCCTCGGCCCACCGTTCCGCTCGCCTATCCGCCCCTGTGCCGCTCTCCCCCCTGCTTCGATCAATTACCGCCCATGGCCCGCCAACAGCAGCGGCGACGGCTGCTGCAGCCGCCGTACCCGTCAATCCGCAGTCGAGCGCGGAATGCTGGTGCGCCGTTGATTCCGGACACGTGTCAGAGCCGGAGCGGCCGAACTGGGGAATTGCAGCGGTACTGCTTCCGCCGGTGATGATTTCCGCGCTTTCCCCGCGCTCGCCCGCATGGGCGCTACTGGTACCGCTTCCGCCACCGGTGCTCCAGCTGACGGCGGCATGGCTACTCATGTTACCGCCGGCAGCGCCATCGGCACCGGAGGAGGTGCTGGCGGCTCCCCCCAGCAGGCTGGGCGCAGCGGCTGCGCCGCTCCCCGAGCGCGAGAGCGCGCCATGGTAGGCGGCGGGATGCAGATGCGACGGCGGAAGACTGTTCTGACTCAGCGGGCTCTGGCACCGGCTGCGCGGGCTGTCCAACAGGCGCGCGGCTGCGCCCTTGGCGGAAGCGGAAGCGGAAGGGCTCCACATGGAGGGGCTGTCGAGCGCGAGGCGGAGCAGCGGGTGCGGGGAGGCGGCGGAGGAGCAGGAGGAGGCGACGGAGGGGGACAGGTCGGACCAGGCGCAGGGGGAAGGGGAGGCGGCGGAAGAAGGGGTGGTGGTGAGAGAGGAGAGAGAGGGCAGGCCGCCGAAGGGAGTCGACGCAGCGGAGGTAGTAGCGGTCGAGTAGGAGTAGCACGGGGAGATGAGCGAGTCGGGGGAGATTGCGGAGTTGGGGGAGTTGGGGGAGTTAAGAGACGCGGGGGAGGGCTCCGCGGAGCTCTCGGACGGGGAATCGTGGAGGGAGGAGAGGAAGAGAGAGAAGGGATGCGGGCGGTTTTTGGAGGGGTGCTCGACCGAAGGGGAGGGAATTGCGAGGTGCTCGAGTCGGCCGGAGAAGGCGCGCGGGAGCGAGAGGGTTGAGATTGACCGCCATTGCTCCTTCACCTTGCCTATTTGCGGTAATGACGGGAGCGGGGCCGGGGGTTGCGGCCCCTTAAGGGGGAACAGGTTTGGCGGAGGGGAGGAGTCCAGCGGAGGGGAACAGTCCGCCGGTGCCAGCGGCGGAGCGGAGAGTTGCGGAGGGGGGGAGGCGGAGGGAAGCGCGCGCGGATCTTTTCCGCCGGTCCATTCCGCGAAGGACGGGTCGCGCTGGTGTGAGATTTGCGTCGGAAAAGCCTCCGAGAAGACGAGCGAGGAGGAGCGCGAATGGCGGCGGCCGTGCAAGAGGGAGTGAGAACGCGAGTGGGAAGGCGCACGGGTGTGAGAAGGCGCCTCAACAGTGGGAGGTGCACCGAGTAAGGACATGGGCGTGCGTGACTCGATGCTGCGTCGTCGGTAGTTTGCCGAGCAGGAGAGGCCCGACCTAACCCCGTATTAACCTGACACTACCTTTTTTTAACTACGGACCTCACCTCAGCTTGACGAATACAAAATTCGGAGACACCAGCCAGAACCGAATTTCCTCCACGGAGATAGACACCGGGTAGTGTGACACCTATCTGTCTAACTTAAGCACATGACTAAGAACGCGACGTGGAGGGGATAAGCAGCGAGGTCCAGCTTGGTACGGTTCTCAAGGCAACTTGGGGAGGGAGCAGAGGTTTGGGCAAGACAAAGACAGCTGTAAAGGCTCTCCCCTCGCGGGTGCTGCTTGTTTGTGCAAGGTTGGTGGCAGGGGAACGGAGATGGATGCTGCAACTGCCGCCGAGTCAAAGGCCCGTTTGCTGTTGGAAGGAACAGAGAGGCTCCGCCGAAGGACGCCCGTCCCATTGCTGTCGCACGAATGTGCAAGGGAGGGAGGGAATGGGAAAGGACGGACAAATGTACATGAGATGAGATGGGAGGGATGGACTGGGATGGGATGAGATGGGTTGGGATGGGTTGGGATGAGACTTGATGAGGTATAATATGGTGGCATGCGGCAAGCCGTCCCTCCCACATCTCCACCCAGCACCCGAACGTCCCACAGCGAAAGGTTGTGTTGTGGTGTGGTTGCCTTGCGGGAAGGCAGGGCAGGGCAGCATTAGTGGGCGCGAATCTGCCCAGCCCAAGCCACCCGCTCGCGCGCACACGCACACCATGTGCACAACAGTACAGTATCTGTCGCGGTGTGGGCGGCAGGGCATAAAGCAGACTGGCTGGCAGACAGCGTGGTGAATGGAGGTGGGGTGTGGGAGGGGCATCATGTAGCGTCGTATGGTGTGACATTTTATTCGCACCCCCATGTCGAGGTGACTGGAAGAACGCAGCGAAGTATCAAAATATCTCAATGAACGAATTTGGGTCTTGAAATCAGGTCCTACAACAGGTCAGCAATGTGTCGCTGTGCTGACCATTGCTGCTGCTGCTGCTGACAACTGACAGTTTCGACATTGGCGATCGAAGAGCATTGGTTACTGCAAAGCTGAGCACTTCGAAGTGGCGCGTGAAACTGCTGCTTGTTGCTGGAATGATGCGGGGGTCACAAGCCGACAGAATGAAATGAAGCCCCTGATCCGTATCGCAACGGCAACTTGCCAATTTACCTCGAACAGAGCACATTCTGTACAGTGCAAACCCCAACCTTGGGCTGTCAAAAGTAAAAAGGCAGTTTCTTCACATTGATCACCCAAAGGTCCAGAGGCCATGGAGCAGCAACCCTTCCATTAGCTTATTGGACGTATACCCAGCCTTCATGATTCCTCATTCGGCTTCTAGAAACACTGAATTTAACCTCTGAATTTGCAGAGCCTGCCCGCAGAAAGTACAGTGCACTGCCCAGCAACGCGGAACCAAGTCCAGTCCCAAAGTACTGTAGCAGCACTGCCGTTACTATAGATACGATACAGAACTAGCCACGCAGCGTGCATTGGAGTTCAATTTGATGCGGTGCAGTCATTTGCTTTGCGTTTCCAGAAAGCTTAGGGCGATTGAGCATGGTATTGAGTGAAACAAACTCCTATGGCGCACCCCCTCACCCCAACAACGGTCTCTTCTGGTGAACAGAAACCAACTCGCTGATGCCATAATCGTTAGGCCGTGTTCAGATAGAACTGTCGTCAAACCCGAACCCTCGGTACTGTAATTCTGTTCGTTTCATCCCTACTGCACTTCCAACTGTATTTTGTAGAGTGTGGACAAATGGTAATGAACGCCCACACCAGGTTACTGAAGACAATGATAACGCGAATGGAACTAATTCAGTCAGCCAGTCATCTGTCACTTTCCGTAGCCAAGTACCACCGAACACAACCATCTCTTACCATCTCCGGGTTCCAGAGACGGCAAATGAAGCTCTTCCGGCGATGCTGGGTGTCATGGCTGCCGTTGTTCATACTCCTTCCTACGTGCTTCCAATGCGCGCAGTCGCAGCTGCTCGACCCGTCGCAAGGTGGGTTCCGGATTATTCTCGAAGGTCGAGAATGTTTCAAACGGTGGCGAGCGGAGGACTCTTCACAACCACGCCGGTTATATTCCTGACTTCAACAGGCAAAACAGGCTTTCTTCGAGCTTCTCACGTCCACGCCTTCTATGCTCTCAGCAGCCATCAGCTGCAGTTTAGACTCTAGATCATGCCTTGCTCCACTGGTTTCTCTCCCATCCCGCCTCTCCCCCGCATCTTCTTCCCTCGTTCACATGCCTCCCTTGCATGTATGCTTGCATTGCCACATACCACATGCCACATGCCACGTGGCTCATGTCACATTTCACCTATCACATTCGCATGACATTTCGCACATCACATTTCGCGTGGCACATTTCGCATGCCACGTCCTGCATGTCACATTGGGCAGCGGCGGTGCTGGAGGAGTGTCAGACGGAGTGGCAGGTGCGGTTCAATGAGTGGACCAACGGCGGGGACTGTGGCAAGGCGGACGCCATTCAGTGCGACGACCAAGGCATGATCACCAAGATGTACGCACCCACCTCACCACACGCCCACACCACACACCCACACGCCCATCCACACGCCCGTTCACACGCCCACCTACCGCACTCTCTCCTTCCCCCACTCCCTCCCTAACTCGCGCCCTCCTTCCAGCTCACCCTTCCCCTGCTCCTGTTCTCTTCTCCGCCCTTCCGCCTCTCCCACCCCCCCTCCCGCCTTCCCCCCTTGGCCTCCCACGTCTCATCACTCCGTCCCCTCGTTTGCACACTACGCTCCAGCGCACGTGTCCGCTCTCGCTAAGTTGGTCTTAGAGAATTCTCTAAATCCAGCTCCGGCGTAGGTGACCGCGCTGCTCTTGCTGAATCCATGCACACCGCAGACCCAGGTCAGTCAGATCCCCCAACCTACTCCCTGCTCCGCTTCCAGTGCTGCTTCCCCTCCCCTCGCCTCCCGCCTTTCCCTCCTCCCCCCCTTCCCCCCCTTCCCCCCCACTCGCGTGATATTTCCCCTCTCCTCTCCTCCACCTTGCACCCCTCAGGTCGCCCCAAGGCTACGTGTTGCAGGGCTCCCTGCCCGCGTCCATTGGCAACCTCGTCTCCCTCACTTACCTGTACGCCCCTCGTCTCCCTCACTTACCTGTACGCCCCTCGTCTCCCTCACTTACCTGTACGCCCCTCGTCTCCCTCACTTACCTGTACGCCCCTCGTCTCCCTCACTTACCTGTACGCCCCTCGTCTCCCTCACTTACCTGTACGCCCCTCGTCTCCCTCACTTACCTGTACGCCCCTCGTCTCCCTCACTTACCTGTACGCCCCTCGTCTCCCTCACTTACCTGTACGCCCCTCGTCTCCCACTTCGCTCACTCCCCCGCACTTCCCCTCTTTCTATCATCGTTCTGAGCCGCCTGATTAACCCCTGGCCTGCACGGATTCTTCCTGATTTGCTGGGATGTGTTGTGGTTTGGAGTGGTGTGGTGTGGTGTGGTGTGGTGTGGTGTGGTTGGCAGTGACTTCTACGGAGCAAGGCTGAACGGGACCATACCTGACACTATCGGCCAGCTCACCGCTCTCACACACCTGTACGCCCTCACACCCTTCACTTCCTCCACTCCCTGCCCTGCCCTCTCACTCCCCACATCCACACCCATCACACACCCGAACATCCTATGGTCCAACCAACCTCGCCCCCCCTCCTCTCCCCTTCCCCACCCCACCCGCCCCCACCCCCCCTCCCCTCGCACCAGCACTCCACCAGCGTGGTTCTTCCTTAATTGGCCCTCGTATTAGATGGTAAAGGTACAGGCATGGCAAGCAAGTCACGCATACCAACACCATTCCTTGGTTCCTGTTCGTTTTTTGTTTTTGTTTTTTTTGTTTTGTTTTTTTTTGTTTTTTTAACCAACAATATCATTTTTCACTTTTGTTCTCCACCTTCCCTTCCTCTCTGTCGCCCATGTGCCTCTTCCTTGTGGCACCCGGTCTCACTCTCTTGCAGCCGTTACACCCACCCACTCCCTTCACCTCTCTCTCCCCCCCTCCAATTGTCCCACTATCCCCCACCCGTTCTCCCCTTCCCTTACGCCATCCATTTCCCTCCCTCCCGTCCTCTCGCCTCCCTCTCCCTCACCCCCTCACCCCTTGCCTCCTGCTTCCCGCCCTCCTCTCTCTTCTTGCTCTCTCTCCCTCTACAGCATGCTCTGGTCTAACTGTCCAGCTGGCACGGCGCCACAGCTTACACCCCCCTTCCCTCCCTTCTTTCTCCCTTTTCCTCTCTCCCGCTACAGCGTGCTCTGGTTCAACTATCTAGACGGTACCATAACCTACACCCTCCTTACCTCCCTTCTTTCTCCCCTTGTCTCTCTCCCCTTGTCTCTCTCCCTTTTCCTCTCTCCCGCTACAGCATGCTGTGGTTCAACTATCTAGACGGCACCATACCCTACACCATCAGCGCGCTCACCAACCTCAAAGAGCTGTAAGCCCTCATTGCTTCTGCTGCTGCTGCTGCTGCTGCACTACCACAAAGTCGCCATCCATCATGCGGGCCGCATGGCACATGCCACATGCCACTATGGTGCAAACAAGCCACATGCGGGCAGCGTGCAGTCTCAGTGTAACCATCGATTCAGCTTGCTTTCCCTCCCACCATGTGCATTGTTCTCCCGCCTTCTTCTCCTCACCCCTGCACCACCTTATACCCTCCCCTTCACCCGCCTGCCTCTGCAGATGGCTGGGCATGAACCAGCTCTCAGGGACCATTCCAGATGAAATCAGCTCTCTCACTGCGCTCACCTGGCTGTATGTTGCTTCCACCTGACTGTTGCTTTCTCCTGGCTGTTGCTTTCACCTGGCTGCTGCTTCCACCTGGCTGTTGCTTCCCACCCGACTTCTGCTTCTGTCTGACTGTTACTTCCGCCGACCTGTTGCTTTCAGCTTTCAAACAAACAGCCAAACTCTCACCCGTACCTCATCGTTCTCCCTCCATCCCTACCTCATCCCCCGTGCATGCGTGCATGCAGTGACCTGGGCAACAACCATTTCTCGGGCCCCATTCCCCATTCCTTGGGGCTGCTCTCCAACCTGCGGGAACTGTAAGGCTTGCTGTCGAAGTGCATGGAAGGCATACCCATTCCCTGGGGCTGCTCTCCAACCTGCGGGAACTGTAGGGCCAGGGGAGGGAAGAAACAAGAGCATGTGCACATGCATGCGCCTGTGCCTGTGCATGTGTATACACGTATGCCTGTGCCTGTGCATATGCCTGTGCTTGTGTCTGTGCCTGTGCCTGTGCCTGTGCCTGTGCCCGTGCCCGTGCCCGTGCCCGTGCCCGTGCCCGTGCCCGTGCCCGGGCCTGTGCCTGTGCCTGTGCATGTGCATGTGCATTTGCATGTGGCTGTTGTCTGTGTCTGCATCTCGCATCCCCATGTCTATGTGCATGTGCGTGTGTCAGCCTAGTGCATGTGTTGCTCCCTTTTCTCTCGCCACATGGAGGTGCACCCTGAGCCCTGCCATGCCATCCCATGCCATCCCATGCCATGCCATCCCATGCCATCCCATGCCATCCCATCCCATGCCATGCCATGCCATGCCATCCCATGCCATGCCATCCCATCCTATACCATGCCATGCTGCAACACAGTCCATGCTCCCCTCCATTGCTCCTCACCACCACTCCCATTCCTTCCTTCCGCGTTTACCCCCGTCCCTCCGGCACCTCTCCATTCCACCCCCACCACCACCCTCCCCCCTGCCCTCTCTTCTCGTGCCCGGTCCTTGTCCTTATCCCTGCCCTCTCTCCCCGTGCGTGCTGCGTCCCTCCCTTGCCTTCCCAGCAACATGGGCAGCAACAGGTTGACTGGCAGCATACCGCCCTCGCTGGGACACCTGTCAGCCCTCGAGAGCCTGTGAGTCAGATGCACCTGTCCAGGCACTGCTCGTTAATGTCCTCCTTTTCCCCTTTTCTCGCTGGTCGTTTTTTCCTGCACGCGTACGTGCGTGTGTGCGTAAGTGTTTGAGTGACTGGCTGGCTGGCTGTTGAGGTTGAGGCTGCTGTGTGCTCTCTCGCACATGGCTGCATGATGGCACAAAAAAATGGCTGCGTGCTAGCATGGCTGCAGATTTAGAAGCCTGCAGCACATGGTAGCCATTCCACCTGTCTCACGCCCGGAGTATGTTCATGCTCATCCTCGCCATGCCCCCTCCCCTCCCGTGCCAGCAACCTGATTCACAACCAGTTCTCAGGCTCCCTCCCTGCCACGCTAGGCCAGCTCTCCAGCCTCACCCGCCTGTAACCGCCGCCTCACCAACCATCTCCTTGACTTCCACACTCCATACCTCCCGCATTCCATGGCTCCTTTATTCTGTCTTTTTTATACTCCAAGGTTCCCATTTTCTTTTCTTTTTTTTCCCGTTTTCCTAATTTTATTGTTTCCCATCACCGTCTCCATCACCATCACATCACCATCACTATCCTTCCCCCATTGCCCTCTCCTCTCGTCATAACAGGCCCACCCTTCCCTCTGGCACATTCCCCCCTGTTCCCCAACTCTCTTAAACCCCTCTGTCAGCTGGTTTGACCGGGACCGGGTGCAGTGCGCGGCGAGGGGCCCGTGCGAGGTGACTCAGCTGCCTACCTCCCGCTACTGCGCCGCCTGCAGTGGCTTCTGCGCTGCATGCTCCAACGACTCAGGTGCTTGCGCCCCACTCACTCACTCACTCACTCACTCACTCACTCACTCAGAGAGTTAGGTAGGCTCAGTTCATGTGTGATTGATTGCTTGATCATGGCTGCCTGAGAAAGCATTGGCTCAAGCCTCTTTCCGCCCGGGGCTATGGCGCGAGGTGTAGCAGGCTAGCGAATGCTGTAAGAGATGCTGCACTGCACACGATGGCACAGTGGGTGATTCCCCCTCCTGCTTCTGCCTCTGCTCACCCCACCTCTCTCTACACCCCTTGACCTCTCCTAAGCCATCCATATGCCTGTGTGTGGGTGCAGGCGTTGCAACCTACTCCTCCCCTACCTCTGCCACCAAAGTGGCATTGGCAAACCTCTCTCCACCGGCTTATCTTCTACCCTGTGTCCTGCTTCTGCTGCTCCTGTTCTAAAGCCATATCACGGGCCAATGAATGGACCCTTTTCTCCTTTTTCTCTATGGTACCGTACTCCTGTGCATCTTGAGGGAAAGGGTTCTTCTCTCAGTCCTTGGCACTGCGGTGCTTTATGGGTGGAGCCTGATGAGGGGTAGTCGGATTAGAGGCAGTAGTGAATCAATTGCCTCGGGTAGGAGGATCTTGTTCATGATACCGCGTGAATCCATACTATGCATGCATTGTTGAAGGATAGACGTGATAATGGTTGCTTCTACATGCATTGACATTGTACATCGAAAAGCCTACGGTCTATATCTGCTGACATATACTACCGTTTACCATAACTTCAAATGCCTATGTGAGAGGCTATGCAACAAGCGCAGGCACGCACGCATACCCTACTCACTCAACCATCCAAATTTTCATCTACTTCCTCTCCCTGCTCCCCCTCCCCTCCCCCTTCCCCTTCCCCTTCCGCTTCCCCTTCCCCTCCCTCCTGCCGCTGCCCCTCCCCTCTTGCTAAGTGCTTTCCCCCTCGGCATTATCTCCGCTAGCTTCTGTGCCTGACTGCCAGCCCCAGCCCCCTTCCCTCCTCCTCTCCCTCCTCTCCCCCCTCCCTTCCCCACCTTGCTCGCCTTAGCCCCCTGGTACGACCCTCCTCCCTTACTCCCCACTCCATCCCCACTCTCTTCCCCACCTCCTCTCCCCCTCCCCGCCCCCTGACCAGCACCAGCGAAACTCCCGCCCCTCCCCATGCCCCATCCTCCTCTCCCCCCTCGGCCTCCACCCTCTCCGCCCACTCCCCTACCTGCCTTCCTGCCCCGTTTCTCGGCCTGTATCTGCGCCTTGGCACGGGTCTGCTCCTGCGCTTTGAGAGACAGAGGCATGACTCGCACTGCCCGGCCCCGCACCTCTGCCCCCTTGCGCCGCTGCGACAGCGCTGCTCTCGCCGCCTCCTGTGCAGAAGACAGAGGGGTTGGCAGTTAAGGGGGAAAAGGCAGAAGTAAGGGGGCTCTTTTTTTAGTCGACTCAAAAATCGCCTCCTGTGTAGAAGACAGGGGGGTTGGCAATTAAGGGGAAAAGGCATAAGTAAGGGGGCTCTTGGGGTGGGGAGAAAGGAGGCGGTAGGTAGGTAGGTAGGTAGGTAGGTAGGTAGGTAGGTAGGTAGGTAGGTAGGTAGGTAGGTAGGTAGGTAGGTAGGTAGTCTACCATATGCTGAGAGGACAAGTGTTGAGAAATGTTATAATCCGGCACTATCCACTGGTCAACAGACAATCCGGCTGAAGGTCAAGTCAACAGATGCTTTACGACAGGGGGTGCACAGGCAGAGTGGGGACAGACAGACAGGCAGACAGGCAAAATATAAACCTGAGTAAATGAGCGCGTTTGACAGGCATTATTACCCGAGTCTTAAATAGTACAAAGGCGATGCCCTTGCCCTGGTTGGTGTGCCGGTCCCTCACCACACGCACCCCCTCCACCTCCACTGCTGCCGATGCTGACGCTGAGGGTAATGCGAAGAGAGATAGTACCTCCTCCTCCTGAAGTGGGGAAGGAAGAGGAGAAGGAGAGTTGAGGATAAGGCGGAGAAAGGATGAGGGCGGTGGTGGGTAGGGGTGTGTCAAGTGATAGGAGTCTAGTTTTGAGGCACCTCAAAACTAGTGTCAAGTAAAACAACAGCTGTTTGAATTGAACCATGCAATGGGAGTGGAGCACTGAAAGGGAAGCATGAGAACCAAGAGTGTGGGGTGTGCTGGGAAGTGTGCTGGGAATTGTGTTGGTGTGGGTCGCATTGCATGCGAGCCTCACATCACATCACGCCAACGTTGTGCGGCAGGTTCTCCAAAAACAAGGTTATTGAGAATCCTCAAAGACCAACTCTCTTCTGAGCCGCCTAAAACAAAACTGCCAGAGGCTCACATCGACATCGTGTGGCAGGTTCCCCAGGAACAGCGACCGCCACGGGTCGTACTTCACTGCTGCTTGCATGTCACCCGCCGCATGCGCCCCACCCACTGCCGCTGCCGCCGCTGCTGCTGCTGCTGCTCCAGTGGCTGACTTGGGGGGTGCGGGAGGCGCAGCACGGTCCACGCGAATGTGACGCCCCTCAAACTGGATGCAGAGTGGGGGGACAGGTGGACAGGGGGAGGGGAGAGGGGAGGGGACAGGGAGGAGGGTATGGGGTATGAGGTATTGAAGTGGGGTTCAGGGGACAGGGGATGCATGGTGGATGTGGATGGCAGGACAGCACAAGTGCAAAGACTGCGAGAATGAGTGAGTGAGAATGAGAAGTCTATTTTTGAGGTGCCTAAAAAATGGACAGCACAAGTGCAAAGACTGCGAGAATGAGTGAGTGAGAATGAGAATAATGACGATAGCTGATCCAATACAGAGCAGTCTCAAAACTATGGCAGGGCAGCACAAGTGCACAGGCTGTGAAGATGAATGCGTGGGAATAATGAAAATGGCTGAAGGCATTCATTCCAACAGGGCAATAGTGGACGCGGATATAGTTGGTCGTAGCGAGGTCGATATGTGAGGCAAGGGGGGACCAGGCATCACACGGTATCGCATCGCATCGAATGGAATGGAATGGCATGGCATGGCATAGCATGGCACAGCACAGCATGGCATGGCATGGCATGGCATGGAATGGCATGGCATGGCATGGCATGGCATGGCATAGCATGGCACAGCACAGCATGGCATGGCATGGAATGGCATGGCATGGCATGGCATGGCATGGCACGGCATGGCATGGCATGGCATGGCACGGCATGGCATAGCATGGCACGGCACGGCATGGCATAGCATGGCATGGCATGGCATGGCATGGCATGGCATGGCATGGCATGGCATAACAGGCATGGGACGGGACGATACCAAGGTCATGTTGAGTGCGAGCGAAGGTGTGACAGAGTCTGGGGTCTTGAACACCACATAGGCATTGCAGCTGACAGTAAGCAGTGGAGGGGGGGTGGGGGGGAGGGGGGAGAACCCACGCCGGGGGAGTGGGGGGGGTGGGGAAGGGAAGGAAAAGGTTCTGACTTTGAACAGAGTGGAAGGGGAGAGGAGAATGAGGGAAGATGGGAAGCCGATCACAGAAGGGTGGACGAGGAAAAAACACTAGATTTTAGCAGCTTCCCAAGCATCTCAAAACCCTTGAGGTAAGTCTTGAGGTGCCTCAACACTAGATTGTAGCAGCTTCCCAAGCATCTCAAAACCCTTGAGGTAAGTCTTGAGGTGCCTCAACACTAGATTGTAGCAGCTTCCCAAGCATCTCAAAACCCTTGCGGTAAGTCTTGAGGTGCCTCAACACTAGATTGTAGCAGCTTCCCAAGCATCTCAAAACCCTTGAGGTAAGTCTTGAGGTGCCTCAACACTAAATATTAGCAGCTTCCCAAGCATCTCAAAACCCTTGAAGTAAGTCTTGTGCGTGCATCCTGCCCCCCAGCCCTCGTTCCTGCCCGCCTCACGCACCTCTTGAGGGTGGCGGAAATCTTGTTCTTCAGCACGGCAGAGCGACGCGGCATCTTCTTGGTCTGGCGGTGGGCGGAGAGAAATGCAGGAGGCGGAGCGGACTCGAGACATGCACGCACAGCACACCAACACATGCGCACTCAAAGACATGCATTAGACACACGCATACGCACACACGCACGCACGCGCGTGCACACAGAAGCGGACGCACATGCACACGGCGTGACTGGGTGCGGTGCTCTTCGAATAGCCCATGATGTGAGGTGAGGTGAGGTGAGGTGAGGTGAGGTGAGGTGAGGTGAGGTGATGTGAGATGAGGTGATTGTGCGGCTCTCTTCGGGTACCATTGTTCAGGAGTGACTGGTTCAGCTCACTCAGTTAGCGAAGGGCAAGGAGCGCAGGGTACGCAGGGTAAGAGAGGAAGGACCTCTAGAGCGGCAATGTATGGAGCGGCACTGTCTGCAAGGGGCATGGAGCGGCACTGTCTGCAAGGGGCATGGAGCAGCAATGTGTCTGGAGCTCTAGAGGTCTAGAGGCAGCAGATGGACATGGCATGGGCACTCACGTCGTCGGCGAGCGGCATGGAGCGCAGGCGCACGGACTCCACAGGGCCGATAGTGGTGAAGAGGCGCGCGAGGGCCTTCCGCCCCACGCCCACGGGCAGGTTCCCCACGAACACCGTGCGCCGCAGCTTCTCCTCGCGCTCCTCGCGCGCGCGCTGCTTCTCCGCGCGCTTCTCCGCGCGCCTCTCCGCCCCCGTCAACGCCCTATCCGCCGTCGCCGCTGCTGCTGCGGCTCCGCTGCTCGTATTGGCTTCGCCCGTCTCCTTGCCCTTGCTCTCACCCGCTGCTCCCGCTGCTCCCTCTGCTCCTTCTGCCTCCGTTCGCCCGTTCCCCCCTACCTCTTCCTCTTCCTCTTCGACCTCCTCGTCCTCCTCCGACTCTCCTCCGTCCTCCTCGCCCCACCCCACTAAATCCCCTTCTAACTCGTCCTCCTCATCCTCCTCCTCCTCCTCTCCCTCACTCGAAGTGCTGCCACTGCTGTCGTCTGCGTCCTCCTCCCCGTCTTCGTTCTCTTGCTCCTCCTCCTCTTCCTCCACACCCCCTTCCACATCCCCCTCCTCCTCTACCTCCTCATCATCTTCCTCATCCACACCGTCGATCTCCTTCCCCTCCTCTCTGCGGCTCTCAGAATCTGCCTTAAACCCTGACCCCTTAACCTTTTGGGAGCCCTCTCCTCCCTCCACCTGCTTCTCCTTCTTCTCCTTTTTCTTCGCCCTTTTCTTATCTCCCTTCTTGCCATCGTTTGGTGCAACACCTTCTCGCTCCAAACCCCTCGTCTCCTCCCCAGGCCCCTCACTCCGACGTTCAATAGCGCCTTTCTGTCCTTTCTTTCGCTTCTCACCCTCCCCTTCCCCCCTTCTCCGCTTTATCTTCCCCCCGCCTTCCGCCTGTGCTCCTTTCGCCACCGTGACATCCGCTCCCTCTCCGCCCTTTCCCCGAACCGGCGCCCCTCCCGCTTCCCCTTCCCTTCCGCCCCCTATACTCACTCCCGCGCCCTCATCCGCCTCTTCCCCTTTGCGCTTTTTCGTCTTCTTTCCGCCTTTCTCACTTGCCTCCGCTTTACCCTCCCCTTTCCCCGCGGACTTCCGGAGCGCAGCCGCCTCTGCAAGCGCCGCGCCCAGCTTTGCGGAGGGGGAAGGCCCTTTGCGCGCGGGGGGTGCGGGGGTTTGTCCGGCGGGCGCAGCTGCAGGGCCAACGGCTGGGGAAGGCGCGGAGGGGAGGGGGGCGCGGCGGAAGGGGTTATTGTCGAAGAGACTGGAAAGGGCCGCCATGGAGGCGCGCGGAAGCGGGGGAACGCTTCTAAGGCGGTAAGCTGCGCGGAATGTTGGCGCTGGGAGGGCGGAGGAACGATAGTCACAGTTTGCGCGTGCGCGGCTGGCGGGGAGAAGTTACGAGAAAGCAAGTATGCGCAAGGGATGCTGCTGATGTGCGTCAATACAGCTTTCTAAGGGAAGTTGATTGAGTGCTGTAAGAAAGAATCGAGGGTTGCCCTCAGATGCGTTTTACAGAGGGGTTATAGGGGGAGTGGCATGGGCTCAAACGCGGGGGGGCGGGGGGTGGGGGTGTGTGTGTACTGAGTTGGGTTGGGTGGATTGCCAAGCTAGGGGGTTTGTTTCGGCCCCGAGGACTGTACAACAACACCACTTACCCAAAAGTTGCGGCGGGAGTCCAAAATCGCGTACAAAATTTCAGCCTCCCTTCCTTCCCCCCCATCCCCTCCAAATCAGCGGAACAAGGGCAGCTCTGCCCCCATTCCCTCTGTTTCCAAGGGGCGTTGCTCTGCCAGACCAGAGACCAGCAGCGGAAACTTCCCCGCGCGCAGCAACCCCCCCCCCCCGTTTCTCCGCAGTCGCGCCATGCGCGCTCTCGCAACGCTCCCCCGGCCAGTCGCCGCTACCACCGCTACCACCGCCGCCGCCTCTCCCCGCGCCTTTTTCAGCGGATTCCGCCCGAGCGTCGTGCTCCCGCGCGTCCCTTCCGCCAAGCCGCTGCGGCTGAGTGAGAGGCAGAGGGCGGAGCTGGGGAGAAGCGGCGCGGGCGGTCGGCACACTCGCGCGATGGCCTCGGGGAGCGCGGCTGGGAGCGGCAGCGCGGCGGCGGCGTATGCGGATGAGGTGGTGGCGGCGGAGAATGCGGTGCGACTAGCGTGCGCGCTGTGCGAGGTAGGTCGTAAGTGAGATCCCAAGGATCGTCACTCATTGGAGGAAGAGCTGCAGCGTGCGCGCTGTGCGAGGTGGGGTTGCTTGCTGGACTCACACATGGATGACGGGGATGTTGCTGACGAGGATGTTGCTGACGGGGATGTTGCTGACGGGGATGTTGCGGTGCGGTAGAAGATGGTGGATGGCACAGGTCGGTTTAGTCGGTCATTGCTGTCAGTCGAAAGTGCGCGAAGCCAGAGGCGACCTTTCCATCCATCCCGATCAACGCCACATTCGCACATCCCCCCATGCCACCCTCCACACTCTGCGGCCCCTACCCTCCCCCCACCCTCCTCCCTTCCTCCCCTCTCTCCCCCCTACCTACCTGGCCCCAGCCTCCCGCCGATCGCCAGAGTGCCTGCTTCCGCTGCGACTTCCGACTCCACATCCTGCTCCTTTCTCAAATTTCCCTGCCTGCTTCTTCCCCCTCCCTACCCATCCCTACCCGTCCCCACCCAACCCCACCCATCCCCTCCCTTTCACCCCTCCCTTCCCGCCCCCCCAGACGGTGCAGCGAGGGCTAAAGGCGGAGGAGTCAGCCAGCAAGTCCGATGAGTCGCCCGTTACCATTGCTGACTATGGTATGGGATGGCATGACTGGATGTGGCATGGCATGGCATGGCATTGTCTGGGTTATGGGCAGGGAGATGGTCGAGGGGGTGTATGTATGCGATGCGATGCTGTACCCCTCGCACACGCACTCCCCCTTCACCATCCCCCTGGGGAACGGGCGTCGCATGCTTTCCTGTCTAGTTTTGAGCGCATCCACTTGGTCTCATACGATACAATACGATACGATACGATACGAGAGCGAGGAGTGATTTTTGAGTCGACTCAAAAAGTCACCGGCGCATCATACGATACGAGAGCGTGGAGTCAAGTCCACATGCATGTATTCCTGCATGCCTGCATGCCTGCATGCATGGGCCATAAACATCCGCTCTCATCTCGTCCCCTGTCCGCCCATCCGTCACCCCCCCCCCCTCTCCACCTATCTCCCCCCCCTCTCCGCCTGCCCCCCCCCCTGCCAGGCTCGCAGGTGCTGGTGGCGTGGGCGCTGCAGCAGCACGGCCTGCCAGGGCCCTTCTCCATGGTGGCGGAAGAGGTGAGGGGGACGGGGGGAAAGGGGGAGGGGGGGGGAGCGGAGGGCAGGGGAGTGTGAAGGGGGTGAGCTGGGGGAAGTATTGGCGAAGGGGAAGATAAAGGGGGGGAAGGAAGTGGGTTAGGGTTTAGGGGAAGGGTAGAAAGGAAGGTGGCATATGGGACTGGAAGGGCGTATTTGGGAAGGGAAGGGAGGGAGGGTGAGTTAGGGGCTCATCGGAAGGTTTTGCTATCGGCCGGATGCAAGTCTAAAGCAGAGGAACAGGCAAGGTCCGGGTTAGAGCAAGAGCAAAAGAGCAAAGGAGCTCCTTGGAAGGCCTGGTTGCGTTGCCTGTCTGGATAGAATCTACAGGCCCCCCATCCATCTCTACCCTTTCAACAGCCCACCGCATCCCTCTCTTGCGCATGTCTCTGTCTTGGCCTTCCGCCAGGACTCGTCGCAGCTGACCACACCTGGTGGGCGCAGCATGCTGCAGCGCATCACGGCGCTCGTGAACGCCACCATCGCCGCCAGTGCGGAGTGGGGCGCGCTGGGTGTGGTGCTGAGCGAGGGCGAGGTGGTGGCGCTGATAGACGCGGGCGCGGCGCAGGGGGGGAAGAGCGGGCGGCACTGGGTGCTGGACCCCATCGACGGCACCCGAGGGTGGGTTGCTTGCTTGCCGAGGGTGAAATGGTGGTCAGTTCAGTTCAGCTGAGGGTCAGTTCAGTTCAGCTGAGGGTCAGTTCAGTTCAGCTGAGGGTCAGTTCAGTTCAGCTTAGAGGGTCAGTTCAGTTCAGTTCAGCTGGCGCCTAAGGGACAGAGTGAATGAATCTCTGGACGCAATTGTTTCTGGTTCTTGGCGGAGCGGGCGGCACTGGGTGGGTGCCAGACCCCATCGACAGCACGACACTGGAGGGTGGGTTGCTGGCTGAGGGCGAGCTGGTGGTGGCCGGCGAGGGTCAGGGCGTCGTGGCTGGCAGTCGTACCCACAGTTTCCGCAGCTGCTAGTCGTTGGGCGTCCTGGCTGTCATGAGCAGCATCACTACTGCTTCACTGGTTACACCACACCACACCACACCACACCATATCACACCCGCCAGCTGCAGCAACTTTAAATACCTTGTTCGGTTCACCATCCGTTTTGTTTCCCGATCCTCACCGCATCCCTCTTTCTCTCCCCTCCTCAACTCCTCCTCCTCCTCCCCATCCCCCTTCTCACCCCCACCCCCCAAAAGGTTCATGCGCGGCGACCAGTATGCAGTCGCCCTGGGGTGATTTTTTAGTCGACTCAAAAATCTCCTCCTCCCCATCCCCCTCCCCTCCCTCCACCCCCCCCAACCAAAGGTTCATGCGCGGCGACCAGTATGCAGTCGCCCTGGGGCTGCTGGACGAGGGCGAGGTGGTGGTGGGCGTGCTGGGCTGTCCCAACCTGCCCTCCGCCTCCATAGCGCGCGGGGTAGAGGCGGCCGTTGCCACCGGGCAGCCCGTGGGGTGCGTCTTTTCCGCTGTTAGGGGCCGCGGCACCACCGTGCAGGCTCTGGATGGGTCCGTGCCTACCCAGCATGTGAGAGAAGGAGGGGTGGGGGGGGGGGGGGGGGGGTGAGGAGGGCCCAATAGTAACGGGGCTATGCTGGCGAAGAGATATTGTGCCAGCGAGAGATTTAGGGTTCGCCAGCTCGCTGGAGGAAGCTGAGAATTGACTGGGTGGGTTAGGGCCGGGACTAGCGTTGAAATTGCACAGGAGGGGGAGTCAAAGTTGGGTGGGGAAAATCTAAATTTGAGGGAAGGGGGAATCGAGATTGATGGGAGGGGGGAGTTGAACCTGGGGGGCTGGGGGAATCGAAACTGGGGGGGAAGGGGGAATCAAAATTGATGGGAAGAGGGGGGTGCTGAGGGAATCGAGTTGGGGGGCCGGGCGGATCGAAACTCAAGAGAGGAGGGAGTCGAATTCGATTGATCGGAACAATCAGTATACAATCGAGGTCCCATCTTTCAAACGTTTGGAAACACTGGAGACCTGGCGAGAGCGAGAGAATCCTGACAGGGCTGTGGGGTTACCGTTTTTCAAATCTTGAAAGTTTAACCTAAATGGAACCTAAATGTTTACTCTGGCTTTAATTCAACTGAATAGTGGTCACAGGGCAGCCCGTAGGGTGTGTGCTCTCTGCTGCGTGCGGCTGTGGCATGGTGGCACCACCATGCAGACTCTGGATGGGTCCGTGCCTGCCCAGCAGGTGAGAGGGGAGGGGCGAGGGAGGTGAGGAGGGGGCTGATGTGGGGGGGAGGTTAGGATTCTGAAGAGAATCTCAGAGGGAGGAGGGTAGGCAGGGAGACGAGGGAGGGATTTGAGTAGGGAGGGGTTCATGTTTGTATGCCAGAGTGGATGGTTGCACGTGCAATCATGGATGTGTGGATGGGTGCACGGGCATCTTTGCTTACGTACGTACGTGCATACTCGTTGTGCGTGCATGCATGCATGTGTGCCATCAGGTCCATGTGAGCACGGAGAGCAACCCTGCAAGCGCCATCTTCTGTGAATCGTACGAGTCGCGCCACTCCAAGCACACGCTCACGGCATCCATCGCACAGGTGACCCAGCCTCCCCACCCCTCCTACCTCCACTTCCCACTTTTACCCCCTCAACTCCACCACTCCCTTGCTGCGCAACCATTCACCTCCACTCCAGGCTGAGTCTCCGATGCTGCCTTGCCTTCCTGCCCTCGCCCCTCGCCCCGTCGTCCATCCTTATCCGCCGCCTCGCCTTCCCTCCCCCCTTCCCTCCCCCCTTACCTCCCCCCTCTTTTTAATCTCTCCCCCCTTGAGAAGGCCCTGGGCGTGGTGGCGCCTCCAGTGCGCATAGACTCGCAGGCCAAGTACGGGGCCATGGCGCGCGGGGATGCCGCCATCTACATGCGCTTCCCTCTGGACGGCTACCGGGAGAAGATCTGGGACCATGCGGCTGGCAGCCTCGTCATCTCCGGTGTGTGGGATGGCATGGGATGGCATGGGATGGCATGGGAAGGCATGGGATGGCATGGGATGGCATGGGATGGCATGGAATGGGATGGAATGGGATGGAATGGGATGGGATGTTGGGAGGCTTAGCGATAGCATGTAGCGATTATAAGGTGGATACGGGTGGTATTTTTTCTAGAGTTCCAACGAAGTCTCTTACACGGTGGATACAGTGGCTCCTGCTGCTGGGTCTCCATCTACTGAGCCTGACCTCTAGCGCAATTTGCAAGGAAGAGATTCACAATTGGAAGCTGAAAGAGTGTGTTTTTAATGCTGTCGTCTTCCCCCCCCCCCCCCCCCACGTGACCGCTTCTTTCAGAGGCGGGAGGGAAGGTATGTGATGCAGCAGGGCAGCCGCTTGACTTCTCTCGCGGCCGGTTCCTTGATTTGGATACGGGCATCATTGCTACCAATGCCACACTCATGCCTGTGCTCCTTTCCACAGTCCAATCAGCGCTTAAAAGGGAAGCACCTTTGCAAAGTTAGTTTGTTTGGAACCTTGTAAGCTCACTGTCTAAGCGAATCCTAATTACCGTTTATAAGGCGCTTGAAGGATGCATGTTTCAACTTTTTCACTACAGTTGAGGACAGTTAATACCGGTATGTCTCTGCAGACAACATTTGCAGCCCGCCACCGCCGAGCGAGGCTAGAGCACAGTGAAAAGTTTGCTTGTCGCGAGATATTTATTCAGAAAGCCTGTACAGTACTTTTCGTAACTGGGCTGTCAACACTGACCTGCACTGTTTGCCACGTCGTCATGGGATGTTTTGGCTTTTCCTTACACCTTGGAGGTTCTGTGGCGAAAGCCAGCCATGTAACACTGGTGTGCCAGCATGTTTAGGTAGACGTTCTCGCAACCGCGTCAGATTGTTGTCATTCTTTGCATTACCTGCCCATCAACAAGGCTTATGCTAGGCCCTAGGGAGTTTCGGAGGGTCCCGAGATGGGGTCCAGAAGTACCCAGAATTTTCCGGATCCCAAGGAAAATTCACCCAGAATCCTTCCGAGTTCTCGACATAGCAACCCTGCCAAAGGTCGTGTCAGTCATCTCTCCTGATGTGTGCAGGGAACATGACTGGGCTGATTGGCTCAAGTCCTGAAATCGTCCAACTACCTTTTGTTATTCGTGACGTGAGAATCTTCGCCACCACGCAGTGGAATGGAAGTTCTCCTCACAAACCTCCATGCTATGAGAATAGTTCGTCAGGATTCATGAAAATAGTACACGGAATGGATCAGGATTTCAAGGAGAATCCAGTCGGAAACATTCAGAGTTTCGGAAAATCCCAGCCTGTTAAAATCCGGGTTCGGGGCTTGAGCAACTTTTAATTTCTCGACATTTAGGATAGCTACCCTCCTAGCGTAAGCCCTGCCCATCAACCAGCATTTGTTTGTACACATGACCTCTCTTACAGACGTCCGAGCTACTCACACAATCACGGTTGTTGTATACACCCTGCTCTTATCCCGTAGTGTATACGCACAATCGCTGGTCAACATGAAACGACCCAAAAGAGTGAACTGTACAAGATAGCGCCCAGATTCTGCACAGACCAATGGGATGCGTCCCAACGATTACGTTGGCGAAGAGACATAGCCTAACGAATTCAGTAGAAGGCTTCTCGTCAGCCAGCGAGCTTTTGATCCGCCACGTCAACATGGAGGTTTCTGGTTGCAACAGAAGCTGGTGTTCAAATGAATTAACCTTTGGATACGTCAGCGTTTGCCAGCGCAGTTCACCAGGATGTTCCACGAAATTCAAACGCGCGGGTACTGTATGAGTTCAGCCACATCAATCTGAAGAACCACGAAGCCACACCCTGTAACCCCACACATCTACGCTTTCGCCCAACTGCAAAAATGACTGCCCTGTGCTCCCGTCGCCTACCTCGCCTGTACAGGAGGGCCCAGATTTCGCTCGACATGAAGCGCCGGTAACACGACCCGTTTCATGCGGGTTGGAAGTTTCTCGCGCTGGTTACCTTACGTTACACCGCAACGGACGCACCCAGGCTGCCCGAAAGAAATGACTAGCGTTCGGCTGCTCCCGCCCCGGAAGTGTACAGGCCCTTTTTGCCCGGCGTTTTGGCCAGAGGATACATGCACGCAGCGCGAAAAAAATTCGCGTGCTTGAATCGTGGAACAAGAGTACACCATGATCTACAGTACACCTGCTCTACGCTATGGTTCTCAGACGAACAGTCCAAATTGCAATTCTCACCTATTCTTGTCACCCATAGGGTCCCAATTGCAATTCTCGCATGAACCGACAACCAGGTACCGAGCTGAACCGTATTGACCCCCAAAGTCAGGCCGAAATGTTTAACATTTTGCTCGGGAGTTGTGCATTTCCGGGCTAATGTCCCGTTTGCCTGTGGTTTGACATTTTTGTAGAACAAGCCCGAACCGCGTGAAAACCCTCTTCTTCTTTAGCTTAAAACAAGTGTACTCGTTAGGGGTTTCGATTTGAAGGCGCTGGTCGCCAATTGATCCCGCAATGGAGTGCCACATCAAGTCTCGCACGAATGACATTGGACATCGGCCCACTCCACTTGCACAATGGTGCTGAGCTAAGCAATTTCATGCGTTTTCAATGCTGGCTCCACATACAGTAGTACTTCTGTAGATTTGCTGGACTTGGCCGTGGTTGGGGCCTGGTGGTGGAAGTGATTGACCACAACTTGGACGTAGGTCCTTATCACTTAGCTGAAAAACACGCGCCCGCAGTTTGTCCGTCAAGCAGAATTATGCAACACTGGCGACTTGCAACTGCCCGTCGTTCGAAATCAGAGGTTTTCCTTCCAGGTGATTGCTTTGCCATGCAATGCAATGCAATCCGATGCGCGACTGTGGCGGTGGGATCACTTCGCTGTCACAAGGGTCGGTTCACCAATCGCGGCGGTCAATGAAATATTTACGCACGTGTGCGAACAACGCGATGAGCGGCGCAAACCGACGCGGGCATTTTTGCTCCAAGCACATGGACGGAGGGATGTGGGGCGGACTTGGGCGGGCTGCGTTGGGTTGTTGAGTTAAGCGGGGGAAGCGGAGCGGAGAGGGGAGCCCCGAAAGGGCAGGGAGTTCTGTTAGGTGGCTGGGAGGGTTTAATTTGTACGGGTAATTGTTAGACCAAACCCAAATATTGTCGGCTCTGGTCGATGGGCACCCGGATGTTACGCTCTGGATTTCGGAGATGACACAGATTCGATGGGTCTATGGCAGATCCATTCAGTACCCACCCCACCTCCCCCCATTCTCCCCCGTCCCCGTCCTTCTCCCTCCCTAAACCCTGCTTCTATTTGCTCGTGATCGGACACTTTCATGTACTTCTCAAAACTGCCGCAGAATTTGCCCAGAACATGTTTCACGCTACAATCAGTGATAGCTGACAGAGCATAGAGAGTTCGCATTTGACGGTTGACGTTTGACACAAACGGGGCTGAACCCAGAAAATAGCGGATATTTCGGGCCAGATACCCCGAGAAACGGGGAGAAAGCGGAGAGAAGTTGGGGCGGAGCAGTGGATAGCGGAGCGGACGAGGCGAGGCGAGACATTCGGCGGTCGCGTGACCCCCAAGAGGTCAGGCGGCGGGGCAACGCAAGGTAGGTCTTTTGTTCTGTACAGCGCAGTGCACCGCGATCACTCCGCCTGCGCTGCTGCAGCATTTCGCGAGCGAGATAGCGATCTCTCCCCCGTCTCCCCCTCCCCCCCAATACAGGCTGGCAGCCAGCGCTTCCTGCGAGGACCTGGCCAGGTCAAGCGGGGCAGCGGAGGCAGCAAAGCGAAACCCGAACCAAACCAAACCAAACCAAGCCAGATTCGGGAAGGGCCAAGCTGAAGAGTGTCAGCCCATCGAGTTTCGTGCGTCCCACTACTGTGCTGTACACACCACACTGTTGTAAAATATCTCTGATGGCCTCGCCTCTGCTCCAATCCAAACCGAATGGCGCTCCACTGGGATGATTCAGCTCAGCAGCACCTGACCCCTCCCACACATTCCATGCCTCCAGAATCCCCCTCTCCACACCTCTCCTCTTCCTAGCCACCTCGATTCCTAGACTTGCCCATGCCATGCATTGTCGTTCGGGATTCAGACCAGCAGGTCCTTGCTACACAAGCTCTGGCTTCACTCACGAGGCTGCGGGTTCATACAAGCACCCTTTCCCTTGAAAAAAGGTTTCGCCAGGCCCTTTTCTGATCCAGATTCCGGAATCCGGATACGCTAGCGCCGTCACAGTCCTGTGCCTCGCCGCCTACTGCTATTATTACTAGTACTTCTTCTTATGCTGCCAGTACTACTACTACTTTTACTGCTAGTAGCCTCGTCTCCTAGTGTCTGTCCTTCAGCTAGGCTCTACCATCAACCCGTCTCTCACATTATCAACCCCTGGCTTAGGCACATTATCTCAGAACGAACCGCGCGTCTCAGACTTCGCAAATAGATCACAGATCACATTGCGGCGCCCGAGAGAGCTTCCGCGCATCATAGGTCACATTTCACAGAGATTCCAGCGCGCCGCTGCCCCCCCTCCCACCCTTCTTTCCCTTCTTCTCTGGGTGTTTTCGCTGAACGTTGGTACTTGTGGTGCTAGTGACGCTAGTGGTGCTAGTGGTGTAGCGCTAGTGGCCCTAGTCGCTATCCTCCCCGTGATCCCGAATGTTTCATCGTCCGGCCGCCATGGCCACTGCTGTCAGCCGCACCGCCCTTCCCGAGCAGCCGCCCGCTGCCTTCCACGCCGCTCCCCACTCAAACCTCTCAGGGTTACCACCAACGCTACCTATTTCGCAGCAGTCGCAACAATTGTCATACCCGCCACATTCGCAACATTCGCCAGATTCGCTTCACCTTGCGGCTGAAACAGTCCCGCCGCAAGCCACTCAGCTGCCGCCACCGCTCTCCACTACCGCGGTTCGCGAGTCGGCGCTACCATTGGTTTCAGCACTACCAGTAGCAGCAGCGCTAGTACTACCAGTAGCAGCAGCGCTACCAGTACCAGCAGCGCTAGTGCCAGTGGGAGCAGCAACAGCAGTAGTAGCAGCCCCGTCCGCCCCGGGGCCAGCAGTTCCCGTCTCGTTCGCAGCCACTGACACATTGCCTAAGCTTCCCGCCAACTTAACCTTCTCTCACCAGTTCCCCGCGCCCATCCCCGTCATCCCCGCCATCCCCACTGCCCCCGCGCCCACCAGGGCCTGCGCGCGCCCCGCCGCGACCCTCCTGCGCCCGCTCCCCCCCGCGCTGCACCAGAGCCTCTGCAAGCGCGCCCTTGAAACGCGCATCTGGGACGCGCACGCGCCTTTCTTTCCCCCGTCCACTCACCCCTCGCTACCGTCCGCCCTCCCCTCTCTGTCGCCCGCCCTCCCCTCACTGTCGCCCGCCCTCCCTTCACTGCCGCCCGCCCTCCCCTCACTGCCGTCCGCCGTCCCCTCACTATCCCCCGCCCTCCCCTCACTGCCGTCCGCCCTCCCCTCACTGTCGCCCGTCCTCCCCTCACTGCCGTCCGCCCTCCCCTCACTCCCCCCCTCGCTCCCGCCACTGCCTCTGCCACCGCCCTCGCCAACTCGGTCGCCTTCCCTCGCGGCGACATCTACTACGCTAATCAGCGGGCATAACGGCGTTCATAGCGGCGGGCATAGCGGCGGGCATAGCGGCGGGCATAGCGGCGGGCATAGCGGCGGGCACGGCGGCGGTCACAGCGTCGGCCATGGAGTGTGCCCGCCTGCTATAATGCCTTCGACCCCTGTCGCTGTTTCCTCGCTCTCCTCGCTGCCGCGATCCCTGTCGTTCACCTCTGCCGTTCTGTCGCTCCCGTCGCTGCAGACGTCGCAGCCGTCGTCGCAGCCATCATCGCAACCGTCGTCTGCGTCGTCCCAATTGTCGCAGCTTGTGCCGTGCACGCCGCTCCTGTTCTCGGAGCCGCACACCGTTCCGTCGACGCACGCGCCGGCGCGTGCGACTGTGCCGCTGTCGCCGGCGGCGATCGTGTCGCACAGCCCGTCGCAGAACGCTCAGCAGCAGCAGGTGACGGGGGTCCAATTCGAGTACCGAATGTCGCACAGCCCGTCGATTCTGGGAGACCGAAAGCCAATCGGAGACAACCGGCGGGATTCTCCTGAGAGCCTCGAATTGGCGCGCTTCCTCCCGAAGCACGCGGGCTCCGCCTCGGGGGAAAAGCGCGTGCTTCCGCCCCCCAGCATCGCGCCCGCCGCAGGCGCGCCGGCGGAGAATGCTCCACAGATGGCGGAAGATGGAGGGTGAGTGGGGGAAGAGCGGGGGTTGACTGGAGCGTGAGTGGCGGGTGCGAGAAGGGCGAGTGCGGGAAGATTGGAGGGCGAGGGAAGGTGAGGGAAGGTGAGGGCAGCTCTAGGTGTGCGGCTTGGGAACCAAAGCAGCTTAAGCCCAAAACCTCAATCCTGTCTCTCACTCACTCACTCACTCACTCACACACACACACTCCCCCTCTCCCTCCGTCCTTCCCCTAGCAGATTTTCCCCGGCGAAGCGATCTTGCCCGCTCCCCGCGACCTCTCACCCTGGCGCGGGCAGTATGGAGGAGCACGGGGGAACTCCTAGCGCGCAGTTCAAGGGGAAAGCCGCCTGCACGCGAGAGGCGCAGCTCGTAGCGGACGGCGGAGCAGTGCCGCGCGAAATCGCCGCAGTGCCAGGGGGGAGAGCTGCGTGGGCGGCATCTTGTGGCATGGGAGTTCCTGCTGCTGCTGCTGGTGCTGTTGGTGCTTGTGCTTACGTTGGTGCTAATGGTGGTGGTTGCAGCAACAGTAGCGGCAGCCAGTACTGTGTCACAGGCAGCATGACAAGGCGGCAAGACGGCATGCGCACAACGCTCCCCTTCGCCGCCTCCCCTTCCTCCTCCCCTTCCTCCTCCCATCACTTCCAGCACCAGCAACATCACCATCCACATCATCCCATGCATCGCTCTCCCGCGCCCCTTATCCCCGCCATCAGCAGCAGCAGCGCAGGCACAGAGGCGTACAGCAGCAAAGGCAGCTGGTTTCCTCCTTCCAGCCCCTCAATTCCCACCGATCCCACCGTTCCCACCATGCCCTCCGTCCCCACCGTTCCGTCCGGCTCCTTCGTTTCTTCCACCCCGTTTACTCCCTCCTCTCCTTTCACCCCGTCCACGCCTGCCGTTCTTCCTCCCACTCCTTCCACCCAGCACAGCAGCAGCAGCACCGCTCTTCACACCTCGCTCTTCTCCCCTCCTCCCGCGCCACACCCCCCTCCACACCTCGCCTCTTCACCTTCCTCCTCCGCCCACTTCCTCTCCTCTCCCCACGTCCTCTCCTCTCCTCAAGTTCTCTCCTCTCCCCCACTCACACCTTCCTCCTCTATGACACCACCTCCAACGGCTCAGATGAGCCTACCACCCCTGCACAGCAGAACAGCCCTCCTACCAAAGCTCTCCGCTCCCCCCTCCTCATCCTCCTCCCCCTTATCCTCCCCCTTTTCCCCCTCTCTACGCGCATATCCCCGGGCCCCCCCCCCATCCCCTGTACAAGCCTCCCCGTTTTCAGCAGCAGGGTGCAGCTTCAACGGTCCTCAGAATCCTCTGGTCGCAGGAAGCCCGAGCTTGCCCCCTGCAGGGCTAAGGGGAGCCAGAATACTGTCCATTATGGGCGTGAATGGTGTCCATTACAGTGGTTGCAGCTTGGGCGTCAATGGTGGGACTTCAGGCGTGAATGGTGGCGCTTTGGCTGTCAGCAATCGTGGCGCTTTGGCCGTAAATGGTGGCGCTTTGGCTGTCAGCAATAGTGGCGCTTTGGCCGTAAATGGTGGCGCTTTGAGCGTGAATGGTTGTGGTAATATGGGTGTGGGCGGTTGCAGCCCGAGTGTTAACGGCAGCCATTGCTGCCCGAACGCTAGCTCGTCCTATTCTGGATCTCTCGGGTCCTCATCCGTTGTTCTTCTGCCTCGCTCCCGCACCCTCGTGCCTGATCCCCAACTGCCTCCCCCTACCACTGCACCAACTGCTGCTGCTGCTACTGGTGCTACTGGTGCCGCTGGTGCTGCTGGTGGTGCTGGTGCTGCTGGTGCTGCTGGTGGTGCTGGTGCTGCAGCTACTGCTTCTGATGGTGCAGGCTTGTCTGGGATGAAGCAGTTGCAGCAGGGGCAGACGCATGCAGCAGAGCGCATGCGTACTCTGAGCTCACTGCATGGTGGGGACATGCCACATGTTATACCGGCAGACGGCCGTGCAAAGGCGCCCATGCTGCCACTATCAGGTGCGTACTCGGATGCACAAGGCCAAGGGAGCATGCGGCTGGAGGGAAGCACGTCACAGTTTGGATGCTCCGCTGCCTCGAAATCAGGGGATCAAGGCCTTGATATGTGCTCCCCTGGGGTAGCAGGGGCAGCAGGGACAGCAGGGGCAGCAGCAGGAGCAGCAGCAGGAGCAGCAGCAGGGGCAGCATGTTCCTCAGGGGCAGTAGCAGGGGCAGCGGCAGCATGTTCCCCAGCAGCAGCAGCCGCAGCGGCATCACTAGCTTGCTCGGTACCGGGAACAGGCTCTCACGGCGCTTCCTCTATGAGGCACCGGCTTCAGGGACACCAGATGCAACTACAGCAGTGGCTGCTGCTACAACAGCAGGAGCTTCTGCTACAGCTGCAGCAGCAGCAGCAGGAGCAGCAACAGCAGCAACAGCAGCAATTGCAACAGCAGCTAAAGCAGCAGCAGCAACAGCAGCCGCAGCCGCAGCAGCAGCAGCAGCAAGAGCAACAGCAACAACAGCTAAAGCAGCAGCAGCAGCAACTGCAACAACAGCTAAAGCAGCAACAGCAGCAGCAGCAACTGCAACAACAGCTAAAGCAACAACAGCAGCAGCAGCAGCAACTGCAACAACAGCTAAAGCAACAACAGCAGCAGCAGCAACTGCAACAACAGCTAAAGCAGCAACAGCAGCAGCAAGAGCAACAGCAGCAGCAGCAACTGCAACAACAGCTAAAGCAACAGCAGCAGCAGCAGCAGCAGCAGCAGCAGCAACAGCAACAGCTACAGCTGCAGCAACAGCAGCAGCAGCAGTGCAGCTTAAAAATTCAACCAGCACTGCAAGTTGCACATAGCACCGCATACTCCCGCCCGGCGACCCCTAGCAGCAGCAGCGGCAGCAGCATCTACTGCAGCAGCATCAGCAGCGATCCCAATGCTCCCACTCAAGGCCCTCCCAGCCCTCCCATCCCTGCCAACCCTCTCATTCCCCCCCCGTCAGCTGTGAGCCCCTTGGGTTTGGCGCCTCTCACTCCAAGCAACTCAAACAACACTGCTGTGCTCCAGACTCAAAGTCACAAATGCCACACGCACGTTCCACCCCACGTCTCAGCAAACATTTCAGCCCAGGTTGCAGCGCACGGCCAAGCCCAGACGGGTTCTGTGCACAGCAACAGCAGCAGCAGCGGCAATGGCAGAGCTCCAGCCAAAGCAGTCCCTTTCACTGCCTTCCTGCCCATGCCCGTCCGTACCCCGGCTGCCACTCTGCCTCTGCCCTCCGCCCGTGCCTATACCATTCCTGCACTCAGGCCCATTCCGCCTGGGCTTCGCCCGATCTCCCCTGGCGTGCATTCGATTGCCCCCGTCCCGCTGCCTGTGCGGTGGGCTGTGGGGGCAAGCACGGGGCGCAGCGGCAAGGGTGTGGTTCAGCAGAGGCAAAGGAGGCAGCAGCGGGGGAAGCAGCCAATGAAGGAGCAGCAGCAGCAGCAGCAGCAGCAGCAGCAGGTGCAGGAGAAGGTGCAGCAGGTGCAGGAGAAGGTGCAGCAGCTGGAGCAGCAGGAGAAGGAGGCTTTGTTGGAGGGCAAGTGCACTGGCGGCAGCAGTAGCAGGAAGAGCAGCCGAGCCGAAGAGGTAGCGCCTGCTGGTGGTGATGGTCGGCGACAAGGGGGCGAGCGAGGCAGCATGGCAATGGAGGAAGCAACACCACTTGTGAGGGGAGAGATGGTGGCGGTTGCAGCTAAGAGACAAGAAGCAGGCACGGAAGGGCAAACCAGAAGCAGCAGTAATGGTCAAGCTGAGGGCGGAAGCGATTGTGGTGGTGAAAGTGGCGGTGGCACTGGCAGTGGCGGTGGCACTGGCAGTGGGGGTGAAAGTGGCAGTGGTTTGGTGGGGGTTGTGCGCATGGAGGAAATTTCAGGGATGAAACCCCGAGTTATTGCGCAAGAGACGCACAAGCAAAGGGGCGTGGGGGAATGCAAGGGGGTCAGGGGGAATGACGGGGCGCTGTTGAAGCAGGACGGACCGGAAGTGCAGGCATGGCACGCTTGTGGCACCGTTGATGAGCTACCAGTGAGTGACCGAGCCGAGGGGCGTCTGAAAGCTGAGGCGGGGGGCGGTGAGAGAACTGTGGGCTGCACGGATCTTGAGACTCAAGGTTGTGGAGGGGGAACCGAGACGCGCCTGCCAGCTGCGGACGATCCCAAGGGAAAGGGCGCAATGCAGGAAGAGGGAGGCGAATATGGCCGTGAGCGGGAGTGTGAGCGGGAGTGTGATCAGGAGTGTGAGCGGGAGCGGGAGCGAGAGTGGGAGTACTATGACAGGAAGGCAATCGCTGGTGGCGCCGAGAGAGGAGGGTGTAGAGATACCGATAATGCGGGTGAGTGGTTCTGCAACGAGGGGTGGATAGCAGGGATGGTGCCTGCCACGGGGCAGGGGGGTGATGTGGCGTGCGCGGAAGAACAGGGAGGGGTTTGGCAAGCTAGGATGGAGCGGCAGGGGGAGGATGTGGGGATGGGGGGTGATTGTATGGAGAGTGTGGTGGAGCTGTGGGGGGAGTTGAATGATGCTGACATTGCTAGCATCTGCTGGTGATTGCTGTTACTGTTACTGTTACTGTACTGTTACTGTACCTGCTGTTGTTAAGACAATGTCATGCTGAGAGTATTGTTGTGATGGTTACATATGACACACATGCAAGTGCCTTTCAAGTGACAAGCAGCAGCCATGTGCATGGTTTTGCTGGTCTTTCCGGGCATTGTCTGTGCATGCCCTCTAGGTGGTATATTATCACAAATTTGAGACATTTCCAACCAACTTGATCGCACTGGTCAGTGTGTGACGTGAGCACTCACTTATCCCCACATGCTTGAGTACCGATCACCGCGAGGAATCTGAATGAAATGATCCTTCTTCCCAGCTCAAAGACTTACGAAAAAGGTACAGTGGCGGTGTTATCTGTCAACTTATACATATGCTGTATGTAGAAGTTATAGGCTACCCTAGGTGTGTGCTTCTAGTGAGTACAATCCCAACAGGTATATGTTCTAGGTTTCTCACACTAGTCCATCATTCTCTCTTTCTAACATGGTATCATGAGTAGGTTAGGTTCCCTCTCGCCCGCCCACGCTTCCGCCCTAGGCCCTAGCCGCCCTCGTGACCCGTCCCTAGCTGCCCCCCCCCCCCTGGCCGTCGCGCCCGCCCCTAGCTGGCCCCCTGGCCGTCGCGTCCGCCCCTAGCCGGCCCCTTGGCCCTCGCGCCCGCCCCTAGCTGGCCCCCTGGCCGTCGCGTCCGCCCCTAGCCGGCCCCCTGGCCGTCGCGTCCGCCCCTAGCCGGCCCCTTGGTCGTGGCGTCCGCCCCTAGCCGGCCCCCTGGCCGTCGCGTCCCCCACTAGCTGGCCCCCTGGCCGTCGCGTCCGCCCCTAGCCGGCCCCCTGGCCGTCGCGTCCGCCCCTAGCTGGCCCCCTCGCCGTCGCGCCCGCCCTTAGCCGACCCCTTGGCCGTCGCGTCCGCCCCTAGTCGGCCCCCTGGCCGTCGCGCCCGCCCTTAGCTGGCCCCCTGGCCGTCGCGTCCGTCCCTAGCCGCCCCCCTGGCCGTCGCGCCCGCCCCTAGCCGCCCCCCTGGCCGTCACGTCCGCCCCTAGCCGGCCCCCTGGCCGTCGCGTCCGCCCCTAGCCGGCCCCCTGGCCGTCGCGCCTGCCCTTAGCTGGCATCCTGGCCGTCGCGTCCGCCCCTAGCCGGCCCCCTGGCCGTCGCGTCCACCTCTAGCCGGCCCCATGGCCGTCGCGCCCGCCCTTAGCTGGCACCCTGGCCGCCGCGTCCGCCCCTAACCGGCCCCCTGGCCGTCGCGTCCGCCCCTAGCCGGCCCCCTGGCCGTCGCGTCCGCCCCTAGCCGGCCCCCTGGCCGTCGCGCCCGCCCCTAGCCGGCCCCCTGGCCGTCGCGCCCGCCCCTAGCTGGCCCCCTGGCCGTTGCGTCCGCCCCTAGCCGGCCCTCTGGCCATTCGCGCCCGCTCCTAGCCTGCCCCCTGGCCGTCGCGCCCGCTCCTAGCCGGCCCCCTTGCCGTTCGCGCCCACTCCTAGCCGGCCCCTCCTAGCGCCCGCCCGGCCTCTCCACAGCGTCCGCCCGGCCCCTGCTAGCGTCCGCCCGGCTCCTGCGGCCCGCAGCTCCCAGTGCCTGCCCGGCTCCTGCGGCTCCGTGTCTTCTGCTCGGCACGGTTCCTCGGGTCTCCGGCCTCGTGTCTTCTGCTTGCCAGCGCTGGAGCGTCCTGCAGACGTCCCCCTGGAGCTGTGCTGCTGTGTCCCTATGCCAATGTGTCCTGTGGAGCTATGCCGCTGTGTCCCTGTGTCGCTGACCCTGCACGATGGCTGACTTCGTCCTCCGCATGGAAGGTGAGGGCTACGCAGTTGACTTCGCCACCTGGCTGTCCGATCTCCGCCGTCACCTCACAGGTCAGCGCCAGGATGGGCACTCCTTGGTTGTCCATGCTGATGGCTTGCTCCCCCGCCGCCCTGCGCCTGCTCCCCTCCCTGCTGACCCCACCTCTGCTGAGCATGAGACTTTCTCTACTGTTGCACTTGCCTGTGCCGTCTAGGACTCTTGCGATGAAGTTGCTCAGGTCGCTATCAATCACGCCCTCCCTGTGTCTGAGCGTTCGCGTTTTGCTACAGTTGATACAGCCAAGGCTTACTTAGAAGTTGTTGTTGCTCGCGATTCCACGCCTGCCTCCGCTACTGCAGGCCGCCTGCTCTTCCCTATGCTTTTCCCAGACCTTGCTTCCTTCCCTACTCTTGCTGACCTTGCCACTCACCTGCGCGCCCTAGAGTCTCGCTACCGCACTGCTGCCCAGCTCACTGCGGTCCCTCCCCCCTTCTGCATGACCCTCTACTTTATCGCCATGCGCCTGCCTGACCGCCTTGCTAGTTCACGCGACCACATCCTTAGCCAGCACTCGGGTGATCTTACCCTGCCAGCCTTTGTCACCGCCCTGACCGAGATTGAGACTCGCCAGCGCACTATCGCTCAGTCCAGCGGTGCGCCGGCAGTCTCTATCTTTCACGGCTGTGCCCCCTCCCAGTGCACGTTTACTGACGTTTCGGCTGCGGTCGCCACTGCGACCCCTCTGACCGAGACTGCAGCTGCAGTACACCCGCAGCAGCGTTCGCGCCGCGCCGGTCGTGGCCGCCATGGAGGGCGTGGTGGTGGAGCTGGTGGTAGTAGTGGTGGTACCGGGGACAGTGGTTCTAATGAGGGGACTTCCTCAGCTAGTCAGGAGCAGCAGCCGTCGCCCCAGCAGCAGTAGCAGCCGCAGCAGCCGTCGCAGCAGTCGCAGTCGTCGCAGCAGCTGTCCCAACCCCAGCCGTGGGCTCGCCTCCCCCCAGGTTGGCCCGGCACCTCCGTAGGTGGTGGCCGTGGTGGCGGCCCGCGCAGCTTGGCGTCTACCGGCAGCTCCGTTGGTGTGACCTGCCAGTGCCAGCTTCAGACCGGGCCTCTCCGCGGCACTTTGTGCCGCCGCCCGCACCCGACTGTCCGCTGTTTCCGCCGTCTCGACAATCTCTTTCGTCGTCGCATTGGCCCGGCCCCGGACCTCCCCGACTGGCACAGCCTGCTTTGCCAGGGCGTGCCGATCTTTGATTTAGATATGGACCAGATAGGTGCTGCTTTGCATACCTTGTATGCTGACGCTTCTAGTGTTGCTGGATCTTATTACCCTGTGTACTCTAGTCTAGGCGTAGCACCCTTGTGTAGCTTAGCCTCCCCTGCTGCGTCAGGCGTAGGACTGCCTAGTTTACCTAGCCTAGTTTCTGCACCGGCTCCGTTCCCAGCCTCCGCTACTGCCTCGCTGTCCTTCACTCTCGACTCCGGTGCTTCTGCCTCTTTCTTCCGCGACCGCTCCACGCTCATGCTGCTTGCTGCGCCTGCTGTTGTCGCTCTCGCTGACCCCTCCGCGGGTCCAGCCGTCCCCTCGGGCTCTCTTACAGGCCTCCACGTTCCCTCGTTCTCCAGGAACCTGGTTGGTGTCGGCCGTCTTCAGGACCTCGGCGTCACCACTACGTTCCCTGGGCACGAGCGGTTCGCTGTCTGTACCGAGTCAGTCTCAGGTTCCCCTCTTGCGACGTTCCCCCGGGACCCGGTGTCTGGTCTGTTTACCCTCGACACCGCTTCCCCCCCGGTTGGTGCGTCCAGGTCGCTGCAGCTTGCTCGTGTCGGTCCCTCACACACCTGTCCCTTCTGTGGCACCACCGCTTAGGTCACCCTGCACTCCCGCGCCTGCGTTACATGTCCCAGCACGGTCTTGTCTTAGGCCTCCCCGAGTCGCTCCCCACACTTCCCCCCTCGACTGCGCCACCGTGCACGCCTTGCGTCGAGGGCCGGCTCCGCCGTGCCCCTCACTCCTCCTCGCTTCGCCCTGCTACTGCTCCCCTTCATTCCCTGCACCTGGACGTTTGGGGCCCAGCCCTCGTCCTCGGACCGCGCGGTGAGCGCTACCTTTTTGTGCTCGTCGACGACTACACGCGCTACACCATGGTGTTTCCCATAGAGCGGAAGGCCGACGTGCCCGACGTTCTTCTCCCGTGGGTTGTGGCTGCGCATCTTCATCGCGGTCTCCCCGTGTTCTGTCTCCACTCTGACCGTGGCGGCGAGTTCGCCTCTGGTCGGCTTGGACGGTTCTGTCGTGCGGAGGACATCACCTAGTCGTACACCTTGCCGGACTCGCCACAGCAGAATGGGGTTGCTGAGTGCCGCATCGGCTTGGTCATGGAGGTTGCTCGTACCTCCATGATTCATGCCGATGCCCCCCATTTTCTATGGTCGTTCGCTGTCCGCTACGTTGCTTACGAGCTTAACTGGTTTCCACGCTTCCAGCGGCCGCAGGTTTCGCCGACCCTCCTTTGGACCGGGTCCCCCGGTGACGCGTCTGCGTTCCACGTCTGGGGTTGCCTTGCTCACGTTCGTGCCTCGGCTTGAGGGCAGAGCGAAGCATATCCAGTTGCGGTACTTCCTCCTGCGCGAGCTTCAGCAGCGTCGCCAGGCCCGCGTAGTTCACTTAGCCTCAGGTGCCAACACAGCTGATATCTTTACTAAGGCGCTTGCGCCTAAAGATCATTAGCGGCATTGTGTACAGCTTGGTCGTGTTCCTGTAGCTACTCACCTGCTAGGACCTTGATTGTGTACTCTCTATTATATATACCTGTCTGACTAGCCTTGTGGCCTTACCTCCAGTAGCTGGACTAGTAGTGCCGCCCTAGCTTGCCTTAGTCTCAGGACCCCTACCTTAGTGGTTGGACTAGTAGTGCCATCCTAAGATGTGTGCTTCTTGCTTAGCACCACCCCTTGTCTAGCCTAGGGGGTGTGTCAACTTATACATATGCTGTATGTAGAAGTTATAGGCTAGCCTAGGTGTGTGCTTCTAGTGAGTACAACCCCAACAGGTACATGTTCTAGGTTTCTCACACTAGTCCATAATTCTCTCTTTCTAACATTATCTCCAACTGCACTGCTAGTCTGACGGCGGGAGTATTGCACTGCATTGATATGAGATACCCAAGGCACCCTCCGTGAAACTACGGTCCATGCAACCAACCCAACCCAGCCCAACCTGAACACGCTGAGCGAGAAGGGCATGGTTCAAGATGCACTATCATCTAATGCGATGCCATGCCAGCTCCGCAGCTATCCAGATGTCCGCTTGCTGCTAATGCAATGCAACCAACGCAAGCGTGTCAACAACGGCTGCGAGTTCTACAGGAGAAAGGAAGGAGCGAGGAGGAGCACGGACGGAACGAATGGTAGTATGGACAATGATATGGGAGTGATGGGTAGATGGGTGGAGGAAGAGCAGTGCCCAGTGTACAAAGGCAGGCATCCGGTCTGGCTGGTCCATCATTGTATGTTGTCTAGTGATTTCCGCACGCATTGGCGCACTCTCCTGTCCAGACAATTAAAGAGTGAGCGGCAGAGGGGGGAGGAAGGAAAGGTCAAGCGTATGAGCCAGGTTGTGACGAGGGCAGACCGACTGTGGCATGAGGAACCCGACAAACAGAGGGGGAGGGGGGTGGGAGGGTGGGAGAGGGGAGTGCAAGAGACATGAATTTTGTGCCATGTGCACAAGAGGGAGCGGGGAAAGGGGGAATAGCACGGGGGTAAAGAGAGAAGTGCAACCAGACGGGAGAGAAGGGAAATAGCAAATGAATTAAGGAACCGAGTGCAAACGGGTGAGGGCATGAGGGAGAGTGTGGGATACAGGGTGTGGGATACAGGGTGTGGGATACAGGGTGTGGGATACAGGGTGTGGGATACAGGGTGTGGGATACAGGGTGTGGGATACAGGGTGTGGGATACAGGGTGTGGGATACAGGGTGTGGGATACAGGGTGTGGGATACAGGGTGTGGGATACAGGGTGTGGGATACAGGGTGTGGGATACAGGGTGTGGGATACAGGGTGTGGGATACAGGGTATGGGATACAGGGTGTGGGCACAGGGTGTGGGCACAAGGTACCTGTTGTAAGCAGCAAGGTCAGAGGAGAGAAGCTGGGCTGCTTCGGGATTAGCTGGACTTGCAGGGTTGGGATCAGTCAGGAGTGACTGTGGAGCACGGTGACATTAACAGGAGGCAGGCACAGGGTGAGCATATGGGAAGGAGGACAGATCACATCAGACGTTAGGCGCGCCTAGCAATGAGATGGAGCGCAGGGAGAAAAGGGCATGCATCGAGATGACACACGTGGTCAGAAAATCAAAGCATGAGCAGAAGGGGATGGGGATCAGGCCTCTCGATGTCCCCGAAGGCCCCCCTGCAGAATCCAAGTTAGTCGCGCAACCAACTCGTCCAAGCTGGGTAACCCAAAAAATGTTGACTGTTTTTGCAAGGCAGTTTCGGCGGTTTCCCGGCATGTGCAGGGTTTCAAGGTCGCGCTCACTTCTTTGAAGTGCACTGAACTTTTCCTTTCACCAATTTCATCTACAAGTGCTTGGATGTTATTGTAAGCCAAATTGTGCTAAAAAAAAACCCAAACCATTGACTACAAGTGCAACCGCCACTTTACCAATTTATTGCCTACTACAAAAAATACGCCATACCCACAGGTACAAATGCCCCACTTATATGAAGCACAGAGGCGTGGTCCAGGAAAACACGTTTTCCCCAACCAAACCTCATTGGGGAAACGAGTTTGGCTGAGAGGGGCTTTATTGGAAGGAACGAGTTTGGCTGAGGGGCTCGGTTGGGGGAAATGAGTTTGGTTCAGAGAGGCTTGGTTGGGGGTCACGAGTTTGAGTTTGAGAGGCTTGGTTGGGGAAGCTACAACATCCAATCAGGGTATGGTGCGCCTGCTGAAAACCCAAACGGGCCACTTGGGATTTCGGGAGCGGTTTTGCCCGAATCCCTCCCTCAACGGAGAAGAGGGGTTTCTAGCTGGGTAACCAGGCCTTACAGACGGATGTTACAGGGCGATACATTCCACTACTCGGAAATCGGACGTGGAATGTTGTTGCCTAATCTGCTAGTGGACGTGTACTTCAAATCTGGATGCGTAGAAATCAGGGTAGTACTCCAAAATCACCCTGTTTCTTTGAGTAATCAGGGTAATTACCCGGACATCGAGAGGCCTGATGGGGACGGGGATGGGGATGGGGATGGGGATGGGGATGGGGGTGGGGTGGGAGAATCAACACAGAAAAGCAAGATTACCTTTCCTGAGAGCTCCCAACTTCTGTCGGGTTCCTCCTCCCACACTCTACGCCCATCACGACCTCTCGCACGCCCTTTGCAAGCCCCTAAACCCCGCTCCACACGTTTCTACACTTTACACTCGTTCCCACACCGGCACACGGCACACGGTACACGGTACACGCCGTGAATGGCATGCAGCACCTGGATGGAGGTGAGGATGGTGCAGATGTTGTGGCACGGCGACCATGCATCCTGAATGATGTCCATGCATAGCGTGCCGTCGTTGTACACTGCACGGGCGCAAAGAGTGGGGGGATTGGGGGAGGGGGAGAGGGAAGGGGGGATAGCAGGCGGGGAAGGGAGAAAGTCACTAACGCGTCCTGGATGATGTCCATGCACCGCGTGCCATCGTTGTACACTGCACGGGCGCACGCACGGGTACATCAGGGGGTGCATGGGTGCGTAGCACGGAAAACACGCAGAGGAACACGGTGAAAGGAGGGAGAGGAGGGGCGGACAGAGCGGCGGGAGGGGTTGAGGTTTGTGGGAGACGAAGGGGAAGGGAAGGGAAGCGGGGGGGGGAACCGGGGGGGGGAGGGAAGGGAGGGGGGAGGGAGGGAAAACAGGACGGTCGGAGGCACAAAGCGCAAGGCGAGAAGCGGTAGGAGAGAGGGAGCTGGAAGAGGACTGACCGTTGGGGTGGAAGACCTCGGACGTGAAGCGCACACGCGGAGGCTTCTCCGGGTATTGCTCGCTGAAAATCAGGCGCAGAGAGAAGATGCCGCCTGCGGGGGTGGGGAACGAGAGGAGGGTGCGGGATGCGGGATGCGGGATGCGGGAAAAGGAGGGGAGGCGACCTGAGGCACAGAAGGGGACTGAAGCGAACGCATAGACGCGAACAGGATGAGAAATCGAGCAAAAACAAGAACAGCGTATTTTGCTCCGGAAAAAAGGTCGAAAAGTGGCCCTGGTTGCTTGTGTTGTGTTGTGACGCGTGCTTGATGATACTCTACATGCTCCCTGTTCAACCTTCTCCCTCAGCTCCCTTAAGCCTTAATCCACTAAGCGGCTTACTGCACAACCCGAATTTTATAGACAAACAAAGAACGCAAGAAGCATAATCTACTCCCAGGCTAAACTGCATCGCCTGCGACACTGCATCGCCTGCTACGGTGCTTCACCTACGTGTTTGTGTCTGCGTGCGTGCGTGCGTGTGTGTGGGTGTGTGTGTGTGTGTGTTACCTTCCCAGGGAGACTCGTCCGGGCCAAATATAGTGGCGCTCCACACAAAGAGGTTCTCGTCACTCTGCGGACTCGCGCTGCACCCCTGCGCTCGACACGACACGCCAAGACAAAACAGGACAGGACAAGACAGGAGAGGTCAGGATAAACAAGTAGACGGAAAGGGCAGGCCACGATATCGAAAGGCTCATGAGACCACGAGACAGGTCAGGCTACACGCATAGTCGTGTGCGACCATGGACTATGCATCATGCAGCAAGAACGGCCCAGGAGACCCGCAAGGAAACGGAACGGGAAATTCATCCGTAACTCGCGGCGGCAAAAGAAATAACGGGTTTTTTTTGTGAATTGCGTAAGAACGAAGGAGGCGGGAAAGAGAAGAAAAGAGACGAGAAGAGTCGAGAAAGGGAAAAGAAGAGAAGTAAACTGGGGAGTTGAGAAGGCAGCGCACCTCGGGGGGTTCCTGGCGGATGGCCTTGAGGTCCGACATGAGGCGCAGCTGCGACGACGACATCATCGCGACGACCGGCCACTGCGTGGCTGCGACGGGCTGCGACGGGCTACCGGGCTAACGGGCTAACGTGCTGCGTGCTACCACGGCGACGACGAGACGAACGAGACCAAGGAGACGACGAGTCGACGAGTTTCTAGGCGCGGTATCAAAAGACGAGAGGATGACGCGACGAGGGGACCAATGACGGAAGGACGCGACGCGTCGAGGCTCCACCGGCAGTTACCAAGGCAGACCTGAAAGGGGATAATCTTGGTTCTAGGTGACGCGGTAAGAGAATTTTGCGAGCAGCAATGCCTGATTGAGAGCTAACGGTCGTGGATAACAATGGACGAAGGTGAATAGGGAAATGGTAGATAGAGCAGAGCGCGGTGGATCGGCGTGGCCTGCCAGCTCAGCCGACCAGCGCGGCCAGCAAGGATGGACGGGACGGGACGGGACGCAAGCACACAACGCAAGCAAAAGCCAACAAAGCGGAAATGCGTCAAACACAAGCACGCGCTTTGCACAATGGCAATGACCACACCACCCATCCCATGCTCGTGTTCTCGCAACAAGCGAGGCAGGTTTCCCCCCTCCATGGGGTTCACTGGAGGCACTCCGGCAAACCCATGGCATGGCATGAGTTCGGGCATGATGTATGAAAACCAAATGGGTGAAGCGGATTGAGATGGGGTGGGGTGGGGTTGTGTGGGTGGTAGGAGTGTGGGTGGGAGAAGCCCAAGATACAAGGGGGTGTAGCGGAGGGGAAGGACAGGTTGGGGGAACTCGCGGTTAGACAGCTTCGAATTGGGGGAAAGACGAGTCCCCCTACACTGGGAGGAATTTGTTGAGGAAACGCGTGGGGGAAAGGACCTTACCTCAGCAATGCCGCAAGCGCACGGAAAGCAGGGGGGAGCCCACAGGGCAATGGCACAAGGGTTTTTAGGTTACCGGTAACCCTTACTAACGTTTAACTCTCTGGGATCACGATTAGCCCCTATTACGGAAGGTTTTTTCGCAGTTAAAACCCCCCGGAGGCAGTTTTTTTTGTTCTTCGAGGTTAGTTCGCTCCACAGCGAACCACGTGTAACAATCTCCTTAATCTTAGGCAGAGGGCAACAGAGGGCAAAAACAATAAAACCATTAGGGGCCCGGCATGCCAGTCTGGATAGCATCAACCCCAAACTCGCATAAGGGCCGCGAATTTAGTTTTTTTCTTGCCAGCTAGCCTGCCGGAATGTTGTCGTTATTTTCAGTAGCGCTAGAGATCCAACAATATGGCAGGAAACATAGAGTTCAGTAGCCCTACACTGACGGAGCAAGGAGATTGTGACGCGTGGTTTTCTGTGGTGCGAACTAACCTCGAAGACCCAAAAAACTGGCCTGGGGGTTGGAACAACGGAAAATTCTTCATTTTAAGGGCTAAACGGTACCCAAAGAGTAAAACGCCGGTGTGGGTTACCGCTAACCTAAAAACCCATGCCGCAGGCCAGCTACGGTGGTGGAAGAGCACGTGGCATGAAACAACCGAGTTCAGGTTTGGTAGGTCGTGGTTAGGGAAAGCTTTCCTTGTTGGTTCGGTGAGCAACGTGATTGGCTGGTAGCTTCTTTAGGCGAAGAAATCCATACCGCTCTCGAGCCTCTCTGGTCTCTGCCGATTGGCTACCAGCCAGCACAAGGCAAGGAGGCTGGGAAAGGGAGGCAAGAAGGGCCTGGTTTGTCAACCAACCTTGACAACTCCTTGGAGGGTGTTCGGTGTTTTCGTTTTGTTTCAAGTACAAGTGTGTCCAGCTGCCACGGATTTGCCGTGGTATACCTCATGTCAAATTTACAGTCTACCCCCTTGCAAATATTGAATTAGGTCATCCAATTCAAGAGCGTGTTCCTACCTACCAGCCTCTTCCCAGGCTATTCTCTTCCCAAAATCGGCCCTCGCCTAACAACATGCAAGGTTGTTTGTCCAGCTAGTTCGTTTTAGAATCACATACTTCACCTAAATGAATCAGCTCACGTCAAAATCACACTGTACTGATTCGAGCGCATCAGAAATTTTGGCGCCAAAAACGAGATTTGAAAACACGCCTTGAATCTCGACAAACCCAATCTCCCGTCACACCACGCGGAACCGCACTAAAATGTTTTGCGTCAAAATTACGCGACACTGTAGCGGGCGAGTCTGGGAAGAGGTTGGTTGAGAAGAGGCCGGAGGAACACGCTCTAAGTGTGAGGAAATGGTAATCACAGGACTTAGTCACTAAGGCGTACGCTGCTATAACGGGGTTGCCGCGCAACTCAGCCACGAAATTCAAATCGCGGTCCCAAATGTGGTCTCTTGACGAGCCGCATGCATTGTTGCCGACCTTGCTGTTGCATGCCTAGATCCGGGCGCTTCGCGCCAATTTACGAACCACACGTCGCAGCTCTGCCGAGCCACGACCGTGTGCTCCTAAGCTAGCTATATCCATGCTCCCTTCTGTTTTGATGTTGCCTCGTTAATCAATCCTTCGACACACGCTCTTTGCGCTTCATAACACATGGCCAACGATCCTCAGCCTCGCGCTCTAGTTCTGCTGCAATACCGACACTTAGGAGGCTGATGCCATGTGCTTACTGCATATCCGCTGTCCTTGTAATATTCATTGATAATTACCTACAGCCACGACTGTGTTCGCGGTGTCAGCGAGCCGAAAGCAGCCCAAAGCTTTCACGAAATGATGGATCCGTCCGCGTCTACCGCCATGACTCATTACGAAAGGGCGGCAGCACTTGACGAATTCCATCTTACCCACGAGTAGTACTAGCAGGAGTTGGCGCGTCTGCGAGCTGAAACGGCCCAAGCTGAACCTGAGATATCTGCACTTCAGAGCCGGCAGACACAACACGACATGATCGCACCAAAGACAAATCAAGGGCAACAGGAGCAAGTAATCTAGCAGCGTTCCGAAATACCTGACGACAATCAGCGACCACATACGGCTTCGCCCGAGGGTTCGATGAACAACCCGTCACCTGCTATTGGACGAGCGGAAATTGGCGAAAGGACGAACGTAAACGTGCCGTCCCCGATTTCCTCTCCGATCGGCCTGCAAACTGCCAACGTCAACATGACGCCATGCATTCTCAACGCGCAGAGCCCGCCCGGGGAACGTGGTGGTGACGCCGAGGTCCTGAAGACAGCTGACACCAACTAGGTTCCTAGAGAACGAGGGGATGTGCAGGCCTGTAAGAGTGCCCGAGGGGGCCGCCGGACAGGGGAGGGTGGTGAAGCTACGTGCAGCTACCGAACCGGAGGAGGGATCTGCAAGTGCAACGGTGGCAGGGGCGGCCAGCGGCGTAAGGGAAGCGTGGTCGCGGAAGAAGCAGGTAGACGCACTGGAGTTGAGTGTAAAAGAGAGCGAAGCGCTAGCGGCTGGCGACAGAGGGGCTAGTGTGGAGCCTAGGCTAAACAAAGCAGGGGATCCTATGCTTGACATAGCAGGGGAGCCTAGACTATGCACGGTGGACACACCTACGCTACGCAACACTAGGTAATAGGATCCAATCACACTAGAGTCATCAGCATACATGACAGACATATCATTCATAATCTGATCCATATCAAGCTCAAAGACCGGCACAGGACGGGGCGCCTGGGCGTACCAGACCGGAGGGTCCGACGCAGGACCGAAGCGGTGGCGGAACAGGTCGTCCAGGCGGTGGTAGCAGCGGTCGGCGGTATGGCCGGGCCTTAGGCAGACAGTGCCGCGACGAGGGCCGGTCTGCAGCTGGTACTGGCAGGTGACCGCGCTGGAGCTGCCACCCGACACCAAGCTGCGCCCGGCCCCCCCACGACCACCGGTAATAGCGTCGCTAGTCCACCACGGCGGCGGCGGTCCACACGGCGACTGCCGCTGCTATTGCTGAGGCTGCGTCTGCTGCTCCGGGGCACCAGCCCCGGTCCCCTCGTCTGAACCACCGTCTCCGCCCTCACCGCCGCCACCCCCCTTCCCCCCACCATTCCCCCCTTTGGGACGGCGACCCTTACCCAGACGCTTCTGCGCTGAGGCCGCAGCAGCGGTCTCAGCAACAGCAGCAGAGACGTCAGAGTAAGTGAACTGGGAGGGAGCCTTGAAAGATAGGTACCGCAAAGTACCGCTGGACTGAGCGATACTGCGCTGACGGGTCTCTATCTCAGACAGGACAGTGACGAAGGCGGTGAGAGTGAGGTCACCCAAGTGCTGACTAAGGAAGTGGTCGCGGGCTGTGGCTAGGCGGTCAGGGAGGCGCGTGGCGATGAGATAAAGGGTAGCGCAGAATGGCGGCGGAAAGGTAGTGAGCTGTGCCTCAGTGCTAGCAGTGTGTGTGAGAGTACGACCCCGTTACACCACTTGACTTTTACTTCTTTACTTCCTCTTTCATTCCCTATTTTTTATCTCATCTCATTTGGTTTCCTCTTCCCCATTTTCCATCATCCTTTGGTTTATCATGCTATTATAATTATATCACCGACCAGGCTTGGGATGTACTGGCGTGCTATATCTAGCGTAATCCTGCCGTAATCCCTTAAAACCAATAGCCTCGCGTGGCTATACGCAGGGTGATTCTACATTCTAGAAGGGTCTATTTCCTTTGGATATGATAAACATGGTTACCTCGTGTACTCTGGAAGTATAAAAGCGCCTTGTATCAATCGATAGTACAATCTTTCCTCGAGTCATTCGATCCTGTGACACTTGGTAATCAGAGCTTTTCTCACTCGGCCGCGCTCAACAAAGCGGCAGCAGCGGGAAAACCTGCCTCGAAAAACCGCCGGGGGCGACGAATTCGAAACCGATTCTTGTAAGCACCAGCTCCGCGTTTTGTGAATTACCCCCCCCCGCGCATGTTTTGAACAGGATGGCGACCTTCGACAACGCCGAGCTTACCCAGCAGCTCTTCGCGAGCATCGCCACTCTTCAGGAGGAGATGCGAGCGGACCGCGAAGCGTGGCGAAACGAGTTCGAGCGAGTAACTCGACTCGTTGGAGCGCAGCACGACTCGACAACGGCGACGACGCAGCAGTTTCTCGAGGCTCCGAAACCGCGCCCACCTGAGCCGTTCGATTCGAGCGATCGAAACTCCGACGCCCGCAGATGGATCGCCGGGATGGAGATGTACTTCGCAACCGTCGGATGGAGCTCGCCAGTCTGGGACGGTCAACGTGTACGACTCGCGGCGACACTGATGCGAGGGCCGGCACTCGAGTGGATTGGCGGCAACACCACTTTCATCCATGGTGAAGCCACGTGGAAGCAGTTCCGCGCCGACCTGCTGAAACGATTCGAGCCGATAAATTCCGGTTTCCTTGCCCGGGAAAAAAATCATCGACATCGGCAGTTCGGGAGTGTAGCACAGTACACGCAGCAGATGGAAGATTTTTATAACCGTATTCCCGACCTGACCGAAGGGGAAAAAGTACAGTCTTACCTCACCGGGCTGAAGACCGAAGTCAAACGCCAGGTAGCAGCGTCAAACTACGCGAGCTACAGTGACGTCGTT